CCACAGTGTGATTTAGGACACAATATGTCTGAAAAGACACACAATGGCTCAAGCAAAAGTATCATGGTTGTTTCATTCCCACCTGTTATTTCAAAAGGTTAACCTGTGATCAGTGTATACTTTTCTTTATATTAGGAAATATGTCTATGATATGTAGAAGAATACAGACGCTCACTCTATAGACCAGGGCTGGCTATTTTGTCTTCCTCCTTCCTCTCAAGAGGCATCAGATTTGGTGTTTGTCATTCCCACCTAGTTCTTTATATTTTTGTTTCATATGTATTTTCTAAGCTAACTAAAACATTATGTATATATTTGTAAATATATAAAACACACATATACCATATACTCACACACACAAACACACACATAACAGTTATTTAGATAGCTTTTATTCACTGTGTCCAAAATACCTGACAGGAAAAATTTAGAGGAGGGAAAGTTTATTTGGGATTAATGATTTCAGAGATCTCAGTCCATAGATGGCTGACTCCACTACTCTGGGCCCAAGGTGAATAACATATAATGGATGAAGGGCCCAGCAGAAGAAAGATGCTCAGCTCATTGTGAGATCAGGAAGCAGAGAGAGAGTGTGTGTGTGGGGGAGGAGTGGGAAGGAAGTGTCACAAGGAAGATGAACCCTTTTAGGGCATGCCCCCAGTGACTCTCCTCCTCTAGCCATGCCCCACATGTGTACAGTTACCACCCAGTCAGTCCATTCAAGCTAGGAAGGACTGACTAGGTTATAGCTCTCATAATTCAATCATTTTACCTCTGAACATTCCTGTATGACAGGAGCTTTGGGGGGCATCTCATAACCAAACCATCTATCTATCTATCTATCTATCTATCTATCTATCTATTAATTATCTATCTAATGAAAACATCTCCACCATTCTTTGGTGGATATGTATTGTGATCAAGAAATATATCCTTAATTATTTTAAGTTCCTGAGATTTTTTTTTATTTGAAGGAAAATATACTCTGTTCTGACTAATAAAATTTGTTTTTTTGTGGGTTTTGAGAACTGAAAGTCATGCAAAAGGATAATAGTTATGAAAATGAGATGGGGAATAAGCTAGATTCCAAAATGTCACCTATGATGCTAGGTGACAAAAAGAGAACATAAAGGTTGATGGCTTTTGTTATAAATATGAAAATGTTGACACAAACTTTTATTATAGTATTTTACTTTTTTTGAATAGTGAAGTATGCACGGGGTACTAAAAGGTGTTCATGCAGGCCTGTCTCCCTTGGCCCTTTCCCCAGCCATAGTAGGCCACTATTGCAGTCTGTATATATTCCATATATTCTTCTGTTGGATTACCCAAGTGGCAGTATAATAACCTTTTTTACTTTAAAAACATGAAAATAATAGATTGTGAACAGTAACATGTTTTCTTCTCAGAGATCCGTGACTTTCCACTGCTTACTCCCAGCTATCATAGCTGATATTTTTCAACTTATTGTCTTAGTCCATATGTTGTTACAACAAAATACCACATATGGGGGGAGATCTATCTATCTATCTATCTATCTATAAATTATTTTTCATAATTATTAAGACTGGAAATCTCCTGATCAAGGGGCCAGAAATATCCTTGATCTCTGAGGACTACACTGTTTGCTTCTAGGCTGCCACCTCATTGCTGTGTCCTCTGGAAGGGATGGCCTTAGATGGCATAAGGGCTGGAAAGGCAAAAAAGGGCCAAAAGCTGTGTGAGGGCTTTTTTGTAAGGGTCTTAAGTCCCATTCATGAAGGAAGAGCTCTCACCATCTAATCAGCCTCTAAAGTCCACCCACCCCCAGTACTGTTGCATTGGGGATTAAGTTCATCATGATTTTAGAGGACACATGAATGTTCAAGCCATAGCACTCATGAGCGGGTGCTTTTTGGACACTGTCTCAGGCACCATTCAAGGCTCTGGGAGTGGAGGAATGAAAAAGATGGACAAAACCTACCTTGTTTAGGGAGAGCTTGCCTTTATTATAATAGAGATATAAGTAAAGATCTCCATGATAGACCAGAGGAGGGAGAAATGAATTTCTTCAAACACAATAAGAGGAAGATTTCCGGGAAAAGCGGATGTGTATCTGGACTTTAAGTGATTGGTAGAAGTTCAACGGGAAAAACTGGAAAGAAAAGATTCAATAGCACATTTGTACTGGAATTATTTTGGTTTTATTTCAATTGTGTGTTATCTATTGTACTAGGAAGTTCTATATTCAAGGTTACTATTGGCTTGAAAATTTGGCAACTTGTTTTCTTTTAAAAATGATTTGTTTTGTTTCTTAGGAGTCATTTTCTGATGACCTACTTTTTTTTTTTTGACCTGTTTATTTAGGTGAAATCGACATGAACATTTTTATAAATGTTTTTTATCTGATTTTTTTCCTTTTTTCTAAAATTCATAATAGTTTTTTCTTTGTTTCACTTTTTAAAAATAATTTTTTATGCATATGTTTTAATTTTATTTGCTTTAATGTCATTAGGTGCCTATGGTTGAAACTCCCAACTTTGGATTCATTCTAGAATTACTTGAAGAGCTTTACAAATGCCATTGACTAGGCACTATTTGTTTCTGAGGTTTAGTCTGGGCACCAAGATTTTCAAAAGCTCTTCAGGTGTTTTTCCTTTGCACTCAAACTTTAGAAACTATTGACTTAAGGAGTTTAGAAAGTAATTAAAACATGCTATTTTGGGAAAGTAAATAACTGTGGCTCACCTGAGTAGCGTGATCAATCTATCATCTTAAATTTCTTGTCTGGAATAAAGTGAAATAATTAGAATTGGGATAATATACATTGAAGTCCTCACATTTGATAAATATTTTTATCAAACCATAAAAGGAATTAAATGAAACCTATATATGGACAGAATAATTTCCAAGGCTTAGATTCCTGCAGGGATGGGATAAATTGTCTTATTATTGTATAGAGTTCAAACTCTATACAAAACAAATACAAGATTTGTTACAAATTAGTAAACTTGCTCACAGAGCCTGTTGGTGTTAGGTGAACATTGTTTTCAAAGTCTTCTTGACTTTGGCACCTATTTTTAATGTACTGAGTACACCGATACTATAAAGGAGGCCTTTGTTTACTCTAGTAACAAGATGTTGGACATGACCTAGTAAACTCCTACCTCCCGAACTATCAGAAAACCTCTAGAAAGATATGGAGCTGAACTCTATGCTTCTACTGTCTTTTCTTCTGTGATGCAATCTAGTTTGTATCCAGCTTACAATAAAAAACTGAAGGGAGGTTTAGCAATGTTTACTACGATTTCACTGTTCGGTTTTAAGTATCGCAAATACTATTGCAGTACATATTGCAAGACATGCCAGAATACAGCTATGTCTTGCAGTATGTACTGCACTAGAATTGTAGACTTCTGATATGCCTGTTAGCATGGTATCTGAAAATAGTGAAATTCAATGAAGAGAATATTTAATTAGAATTGAGTTCAAAGTCTAGATTTACAGTTTCTAAGCTGCTTTATCTCATCTCCAGCCTTAGTTTCTACATCTGGAAAATGGGAAAGAATTGAACTGAAGTTTAATGTTGGTTAATGAGATAAACTGTTTTAAATATTAACACATTGCCATTTTTCTGAAATAATAGATCACTAGTTTTGAAATAATGGTATTTGGGATGATATATGTGAGTCCCATTTAATGTAGCTGTATTTCTGAATTTCTGATGAACCAAATAAATTTCCTAGTAAAGGTGTTGGTAACATGCTTTTATCATAATAATAGATTTCATAATTTTTCATGCGCTTAGAGACGTTTTATAAAACTCAAAGATTCTTAACATTTAAGAAGGGAAAAATCAGAATGTTGATAATATAGATCTCACAATATAGTCAGGGCATAGAAACCAAAGTTTATACATATACAGTACCCACACAAAATGTACTGTAGGCCATGTTGACATGCAGATCAAAGTGGTTTATTCATCTAAAAATGCTTGTTGTGTTCCTCTATGTACTCAAATAAGATCATCATGGTGATAACCCCTCCTATTTTATGCAGCTTAAAATTGTTCTTAAAGATACAATTCAAATGTGGTCTACTTTATTATTATTCCTTTCTTCCCCCTTCAAAACAAATCCCTTCTCCACATTACTCAGCAAGCTGTCTCTACCCTGGTGGTTATTTTATAAAATATAAATATTTTACACATATTAAAAGTATCACTGCAGTTATATTTTAGGTATTAGATTGAAGGTTGCATGATTTCTGGTTAAGGAAGTCTGGCTCTGACATTAGAGGTATCTTCATTTTGGGGCAGGAGCTGTGGCTCAGCGGTAGAGCTCTCGCCTAGAATGTACGAGCCCCTGGGTTTGATCCTCAGCACCACATAAAAATGAAGAAATAAATAAAATAAAGGTATCATGTCCATCTATAACTTAAAAAAATAAACAAATATTTTTTAAAAAGTATCTTCATTTTAATTTCCACTTTTGTCTCTCAGCAGACAAAATTGTTTGTTCTTTACAAGCTCAATTTAGTTACCTGTGAGATGGGGACAAAAAGCTTCTACCTCAAAGGCTTGCTGAAATTAAGTGTCATAATATAAAATGCTGAAGATTGTAAGTGTTCAATAAGTGGTAGTGAATTTTTTATTGTTGTAATCATGTAAAAATGATACATAATTTCATAAAACCCCCTCCACTTGACACACTCTTCCAGGACCAAGACCATCACTTGGCATTTTGTGTAACTTTTTAAAATCTTTATTTTTTAGTTGTAGTTGGACACAATACCTTTGTTTTATTTATTTATTTTTATGTGGTGCTGAGGTCAAACCCAGGCGGGCCCTTTACTCCCCCAACCCATTTTGTATATGTTTAAGGAGAAGTTCATTAATAAATACTTGTTGACCAAATACAGTAGTTTTTGTCATTACTTGACTTTAAAAAAAATAGCATTGGCATATATAAAAAATTCATAAAACATTTTTTCTAAATTATTTTGTTTTAAAATCCCTATAGGTACCTTCGAAGTTCATAACTGTCTTAAAATCTGAGGATTCCACCAAGATAATATGATAAGAACTCACAATGATTTGGAACCACATCCTACTTAAACTAATGTAAGACGTGCAGATTTCATGAGAGTGTGGTACAGCTGCAAACATTGCTTTCCCATTGGCATAGGCAGTAATGCCATCTCTGCCTCAGGAGGGAGGTGAGCAGACTGGCTGAGCCACATTACACCATATGATATGATGTAGATCATTACTGTTTACTGTTGAGTGTGCAAAATTACTTTTATACTTTTGAAGTACCATAATTTATTATTTTACCTTGTTGGGGGCATTTGTGTTTCTGGTGTGGATATTTTTTTTCAATTTCTGTTATATTTGGTTGTTTTTTACATTTCTTTTAAAGTTATTCAGGGACCCTCTCCCCTGGATTTGAATATGGAGTTACCTTATCAAAGCACCATGAAAAGAAAAGTTAGAAAGAAGAAAAAAAAGGGAATCATTACTGCAAATGTTGCTGGGACAAAATTTGAAATTGGTAAGTCTCCTCAGAATCATGGGATTTTAAAAATTGCTGGAAAAACTGATTTGGTGATGAAAACAACATAAAATTGCAGAGAGATAACTATCTTTTATGTAATGGGTTTTTAAGTGCTTCGTATAAAATTTCTGACATGCTGGAAGGATTCTTTTTCTATGCAGTGGAGGATGATATCCTTAAAAAGATCCTAAGTGGTTTCTAAAATTTCAGTTCAAACAAAAAGGCAGTTAAATAGCTTAGATGAAAAAAAAAAAGTGAGAGTTTTAAACTTGACATTGTATTTTTCCTTAAAGCTCAACTTAGCTCTCTGAACTTTGATGTTCTTTATAAATGGGATTTAGACATGACTGACCCTAAAATTTGATTTTGTGTATATAAAGAAAGAATAGATCTTCTTCATTCCTCTTACACAACCTCCATGTTGTCAGCTCCACTGGTGTGTGTGCCCATGATACCCAGATTTAAGAAGCTTATCATACTCCCTGCTCCATAGCTGCCAGTTGTGTTTATCTCAAGTTCCTCTCTGTGAATTTTGAGAGGCCCCTGACAGTGGCTCTCATTTACTCAGGAATAGGTCTGCTCCTGAGCTGTTTGTAGACCAGTTAAAGAATTCTCCCAGGCTATGCTGCTATTGTCCTTGCCCTCTGTATGAGCTGTAGGTGGCACAACCCTCAGGATGCCAGAGCTCTGACAGGAGGCAGGAATGGACCTTTTCTTCAGTTCTTGTGTGTTTGCACATGATCACCTGGGGCTTGCATACAACCCCAGGTTTCACTTGGCCTCCCTGGGAAACAGCAACTCCATCTCAGCAGCTGTCTCCATTTCCGTCCCCTCCGTCACCCTATTTGCTGTTCTCTTCCTCATACTTGTCATGGACACTGCTGCATATAGAGTCCTTTCTTCTCAGCTAGCAAATGTTAGGAGGCCCTAGAACTTGAGACCAACAGGTGTGGGGTTATCAGTTTTCTATGTGAGCTAAGTCATTTCAACAATTGATACATCATAGATAGGGTACTAGTAAAAAAAGAAAAAAAAACATTAAAAACTTGTATAGTTTTTAATGCACTCTTATATAGTTCCTGCATCATTGTGTTCTGGTTCAGAATTCTGTAGGAACCCCCAAATTATGCTAAGTATATTGCTTATCTTTATTTTAAACTTGAAATTTGTTGGAAGAAAAAAATGTCAATATATTAACTGTGTTCAGAAAGGAATGCTTAAATAGTTTGTACTCAAAATGAAGTTTTTCTCTGGGTATTGATTTCCTCAGTAGAATGACAGAATTAGGTTGGAAGCACAGGAGGGGCCATATCTAAATTCTTCCTGTGAATTCTGCTACACTGGTTCATACTCAGAGTAAACAGAGATGACTTGGTTTCAGGAGCCAAAAATAATTTGAACTAGGGAGGTGGAAAATCCAAGATAGTTCTGAAGATCAGGTGCTATTTTACATTTGCCCTTTTGTACCTATCTCCAGGTCATGAAAAAGAAGTAAAAGTGAAATTTGTATCTCAGTCTTGTCTCAGCTTTTTTTTTTTTTATTGTGCTAAAATTGACTACTTAACCCTTTGGGAGTTTATGTGCCTGTTAAATCTGAGAGGACTAAAACTAGGGTGTTGCGTACAACCTAATACAGTTCTTGGTTATTTTGAGAAAAATTTGTTCTTAGATAAAACTGTTTTAATTAGAATTGAAGTTATGCTACAAGTAATGCATTTTTTATAAATGAAATACTACATTAATTAGTTTGTATTATTTATGACATTATATATTACATATATAAATATTTCAGAAGTATTTTAATTCTGGTTTAACTATTTGTTTACAGTTCGCTTAGTAATAGATGAAATGGGATTTTTGAAAACTCCAGATGAGGATGAAACGAGTAACCTTATATGGTGTGATTCTGCTGTTCAGCAGGAGAAAATTGTAGAGCTGCAGAATTACCAGGTGGGACATTAATCACAACCAGTTTTTAGTATGAGGAAATTATATGGACTCCATCATGGTTTCTTTACATAGACCCTTAGTCTACTGACATAGTAGATTCCAGTTCTAGTTTACCTCAGCCTGTTTTGTTGCTTTGTGGTTGTGTTGACTCTGCATGGAGCCTGCATCTTTTTCAAAAAACTTAACTTTTAACCTCCTTCTTTCTTTAAATTATATTTAGTAGGAAAAAATCCTTTTCCCAAGAATGTGTTCTGCATTACACATAAAGAAGAGATTGCACAGGGAGATCAAGAAATGGAACTATCTTGCAATGTTAGATATATGTAATTTGGCTTTTATTTTTAAAATGTAACATAAATTTTTATTCAGAAGAAAGTAGAAATCACATTGAAAAACTAAATACAAGGACTATATAAGTTGAAATTTTATATCATCCTTCTTCATTTGTTAATTTAGAGGATAATATATAAATGGCCAGTTTTTTCTACAAGGCCTATGTGTATTAAGGTAGTAAATGTAGTATGCCCAAAACAGTTTGGATATTGAATTACCACATATTCAACACAGGACATCATTTACCATCTATGTAAAATCTTTATCTGATTTCTTTAAAATTTTATAATTGTGTTCTGTATTATGACAGACTTCTTAAATCACAATTTAATTATAGATCATTTAATTTAAAATCCTTTACATTAACAATTTCTAGTTTATTAAAACAAAACTCAAAGGATGGATTTGATTGTATTTAGTATAAATAAATATATTCATTAATTCAATGAGAATATTAATATTTACTTTTTTTATTTTCCAGAGGATCAACCATTTTCCAGGAATGGGGGAGATCTGTAGAAAGGATTTCTTAGCAAGAAATATGACCAAGTAATCTTCATTTCCTTGTAATAGAGAAGAGCTGTTTAAGATTTTATACTGTGAATATTTTAGTGCTCTTTTATGAGTTTCCATTGATTTGAAATGATTTCTAGATGGAAGAGAATTTTAGAGCTAGAACAATCTTAACAGTTCCCTTGTTCTAGTCTTTCATTTTGCAGAGGAGGTAACTGAGAATCAGAGAAATGATTATCTTGCTCAAAGTCAAACAAATAGTTAATAACAGAGCTGGATCAGAATTCATCTCATAATCTCAGTACTCTTTTTACTGTAATATGCTGTTTCTTTAGTATCAGAAGTTGTTCTTTTAAATGTGAGTAGTAGTCTATGTGGCATTCAATTGATACTTGCTTAGTTTTAGTTAAACTGTACAGTAACTAATTGGTTGCATTATATGCCGTAAATGTGTGTGTGTGTGTGTGTGTGTGTGTGTGTGCGTGCGTGCGTGTTCACACTGGTTATTGAACATCTAACATGTGCCAGGCACACAATACACAGATACAGGTATGCATGCTCACTCAGGGATGTACATGCATGTAAATTAATCTCTGAGGTCAGTAACAGTGTACTTTCACAGAAAAAATTGTTAACAAATACTTCAGTGTTTTTCTAGATGAACTGTAGAATGTTTATGTACTTTATACTTTTGTTGTTTTATGTTTTAGATTTTTTTTTCAGTTTAAGAATGTTGAGTGGTAAGAATTTACTAAAAGGAAAGAAGTCTATTCTTAAAGTATAGTAAATTTATGTTTATAATTAAGAACTATTAATGTGTGAAAGTTTATAATTTTTCATCTATTAATGATACAAAATTTTTTGTAGGTCTCGTATATGATCCAGAGGCTGCTAATTTTTAAGTAAAAAGATAATAAAACTTAGTTCCTGCCTAAAACTCACAATTTAATTAGAGAGTAAGAATAATACGAAGAGTCATGGTGTTCACAGATCACTATTAGAGAGAGCTCACACTATTCGGGGGTCAGAAAGGTACAGTTAAATATACAATGGATGTGGAAAATGTGTACAGGGCTTACCCTTTGAGAAGGTAAGGAGCTCACAGCAGACATAGCAGTGGGAGAAAATATGTGAAGACTTGAACCAGCCTGACATTTGGGCACCTTTAAGCAGTTTCTATGGTCATGTATGATGTTGCAAGACCCAGTCTGAGATGATGCTGGAGATTTATGCAAATGCAAGGACACATGTGCCATGTTATTATATTTTATTTCATCATTCATTCATCTTTTTATCTATTCAGCAAAAATGTTGTTTTTCATCTTGAAAGAGGAAATTATTGAATAAACTTAAGCAGAGAAATAATGTCTTAGAATCATGGTGGCACTCTGCATAATGAATTCAATGAAGGTAGGAGTAGAGGGAGAAAACTGTGAGATGATTGTCACTAGTTAAGAAGTAATGACCATCTAATGAACCACAGGAGTGTTAGTGGGAATGAGGAATGGAGAAGAAATCTGAGTGTTGTTAAAGATAAAATTAATGTGCCATCAGGGATATTAAAGAGATGGAATTGACTGAAAATGACTTTGATGTGAGTATTAAAGATGGGGAGGGGAGAGGCTTTCAGGATGATTCCCAGGTTTTTGACTTGGAATATTATGTAGGTAGCATGATTAGAAGGAATATAAGAAGAATAGGCTTCAGGGGAAATGGAATTTACCTCTGTAAAGTTTTGGGAATGTGTCTCGTTTGTCATTTAACACACTTATTAAGGACCTACTATGTACTATGAATGGTGTTGGGGTCTGGGTACATAAGTCATCAATAGCAGATCTATTGTTACTACAACATTCAACTGCAAGTGTGATAGTGCTATGAAGTGAAGGTTTGTAGTTCTAAACCTGTGTGTAGAACAGGAGCTCTGACCTAGTTAGGAAGGTATGGGAGAGTTTCCCTGAGGAAGTGATGTGGAAATTGATACATGAATGATGAATAGGACTTTATTGGTACAGATACTAGATAAGAAACATCCAGGCAGGAGGAACTGCATGGGCCAAGGTCATATGGTAGGAGAAAGCATAAATAATCAATATACTGAAATAATGTCAAGTGCAGTTGCAGCATAGAGGTGGATGGGGAACAGGGGAGAGATTAACTGAGGGTGAAGATGTTCAGAATTATGATCTTTATCTCCAAGCCATGGGGGAGGTAGGGGTAAGGAGACTAGGAGTGATGGTAGTTTGCCCAGATTCTCATTTTGTAAAGATGCTTTTGGCTGCTTTGTAGATAAAGAAGTTTGTGTGAGAGAGGTAAGAGGATAAAGGTAGCTCTGTGAGCAGGCTACTGCAGATGAGCAGTTTCTTATTACACAGAATCCATGGAATTCTCCCTATGGAAAAAGTAGTTTTCTAGAAGTTATAACCTAAACATAGAGTTAACTAAATTACTTATTTACTATCAGTAAGTCCATGACAAAATAGAAATTATCACAGATATCTTCTTAATTAAAACTGAGTATTTCTTTTGAGCTAGATAACTTAAATGGAGTAAGTATTCACTTGAATATATGCATGCTTTGCTCTTTTCCAAATATGTATGGTTAGTTTTTGAGATGTATTATTCTGATAAAAACTTTTACATGATCTAATTTCATAGAATTGTTAAATACATAATAAATTTAAAGGTGTTGGAAACAAAGACCGTGACATTAGCACTGTTATTTTGCTTTGTTTCAATTGTCTTTAATTTTCAAACCAACCTATGTTATTCTATTTTGTACTGAGATTATTTTAGTTCGTTGGCTTAAAATAGATTTGCCAGATGAAATGGGTAATTATTTTCTTTCTCTTAGGGGTAACTTTTTTATAGGATTCTCATGAGAAAGCACTTTTTAAATATAACTATATGAGTCTTCTGTTGTGTAACTCAAGTGACTGATATATTCCACACCCAGTCTTAGAATTTAGACTCTGATTCTGTGCAAGCATTATGCTAAGACTCCATTTTATTTTTAATCAATTTTGCTTGGGGAAGTGAAATTTCAGAAAAGACTTTTGGAAAAAAATTTTCTTTTAAAACAATCAGATTTTCATTAGTAGGCAATATTTAAAAAACCTTTCTCATAATTTCTTCATTTTACTTCTAAGTACGGAATTATTAACATTTGGGATTAATAAAGATTAAACATTTTAAGCTTATTATTATTTCTAAATTATGTGATCTAATAAAAGAGGTGACCTAATTTATAACAAACCAAAAGTATCAGGACCTACATCATAACTACGCAATCACATGTACAGATAGTGCATACAAATAATAATCAACACCTCTGTTGATTCAGATGCTTTCACATGGTTTCTCAGAAAAGCAGTTAAATTCTAAAAACAGTAGCATCAAAGGAAATTAGTTGTTCCCCATGGGTGACCCAGAAGTCACGTTTAAAGAGCCAGTGTGTCTGGCATTTGGCCTTGAGCTTCCTTGCCAGTTGGTGACTCACTCCCATGCCCTTGCCTCATATGCCATCTATGCACTCATCATTTTGTTTTGTGATTAACAGCCTTTCTCTGAATTCACTGGGGCAGAGACTATATTGCTTTTATGTTAATATTGCCAGTACCTGGCACAGTGTATAATCAAATAGATCTTTGGTGCAGTAATACGGAAATTAAATACATAATAGGGCAGAGATTTTGGTCTACGTTTTGCACTGATGGATCTAGAAAAGTGTAGACTAGTGTCTTGTACATAGTAGGTGCTTAATAGACATTTGTCGAACTGGGTCTATAAGTGAGTGAATCAATGAAGAATTGGAGAGAATTTAAATCATTGTAGTATCCCTAGCAGAGAAATAAAACAAAAAATTTTAATACAATTTATCTTTCATACTGTCTCTAATTTATAGAATGATCAAGTCTCGGCCTCTGGATTATACCTTTATTCCTCGAACATGGATCTTCCCTTCTGAATATACTCAATTCCAGAACTACGTGAAAGAGTTGAAGAAAAAACGGAAGCAGAAAACTTTTATAGTAAAACCAGCTAATGGTGCAATGGGTCATGGGTAGGTTTATTATTACCTGGAATATATAAAAGCTATAAAAATGGAAGGAAAGTAATAATGTGTATAATTACTCATGGTTGAGTACTGTTATGAAAAAATAATAAAAATTAAGTTTTTAATTACTGTTTTTTGGAACTAAATGCTTAATGAGGTTCATTCTTTAAAGTTATCTCACAAGCTTCAGTAATTCAATTTAAAGATTAAATCAGTAGGTGTGAGACCTTTAATAAATAACGAAATGGAGGGGAAAAAAGCTGTATTCTACTTTCTTCATAGACATAAAATGCTCATTTATAATAATTTTAATAATCTTAGAGAGTAAAGTAATTTGTTATAGTAAAGAAAAGGAAATGGAAGGAAGTTATTCTTTGTATAGCTATAACCCTAAAACAGAATAGTATGATCTTTGCTGGATAAATAGTTTTTTTTTTTTTTTTAACTGTAGCCATGATAATTGGGTTGCAAATGAGTAGAACACATTTTAAGCTAGAGTGCCAAGAATTAGACATGTTAACTGAAAATAGAATGTGGACTTAAAATTCTTGTTTCCTTTTGCTTTTTTATATTTAGTTGTTTACAATGCACTTTTAAAAAGAAAATGTGGCTGAAGCTATTTTTAATAAAATAGACTTAAGTGATTTAAATTTTTTATAAAAAATGCTATGGGGAAAAAGGATTCTTGGAAATGGTAGCTACTCTGGAAATTATTGTCCAAAAAATTTCCTTTAACTTTTAATCATAATGTAATATTTCAATCATACATTATATTTAAATGTAGTTTGATAAAATAATCAAGTATGTTAGTGGCAATTTTGTGTCAACTGCTTAATGTTAAGTTGGTTTCCTATAGGTATCAAAAGGAAATTTTTTGGAAGGATTATTTAATTTTATATTTTTCCTCAATTTTAGTGTTAATATTTAATATAAATATATTTATATTTATTGTTAAAATGTATGTAAGTAATAATTCTCCAATTTCTTTTTATTACAAATTAAAATTACTGGAAGAGCAGATAATTGAAAGGGTATTCTGTGTTGCCTGAGTTTGTGTCCTGTAATGCAACAGTATGTATGTAAAGTTGCTTCTTTTCTTTGTTAAAGATGTCTGCTTCTTGCTGATCTTCTGTGTAGTTATGGAGTACTGTTGCTTCCAACTGTTATTGAACTGTTTATCCCCTTGACTATACCAGTTTTTGCTTTATATGTTTTAAAGCTCAGTTGCTAAATGCATATATATTTGTACTTATTATGTATTCTTGATGCATTGGTATTTTTTATCATTGCATAATGTCATTTTTTACCTCTTGTAGTAATTTTTGTCTTAAAATGTCTTTTATCTTATACTAGTATAGCACTCCAGATTATTGTTTACATGTAATATCTTTTCACTTTCAGCCTATTCATACCTTTGACTACAAAGGGAGTTTTTTTTTTTTTTTGTAAATAGCATAATAGTTAGACCATATTTTAAAAAAATCCATTCTGTCCAAGCCCTGTCTTTCATTAGAGAGCTAATCTACTTATACTTAATGTAATTACTGAAAAAGAGTTATTTCATTTTGCTATTTTGTTCTTTATTTTGTATATATCTTATTATATAGTTTTTATTCCTAAATTTCTCCACTCTACTCTCTTTTGTGTAAATAGATTTTTTTTGTAAACTTAAATTCCCTTGTCATTTCTTTTACTATAAGTTTAATGCAATTAACACTAATTTATAATAATCTAGTATTCTGTGTCCATCAGCATAGATTTATAACTGTTTTTTTAATGCAGTTGTCTTTTAAATCATTAAAATAATGAAGAATTACAAACCCAAACTACATTGTTAGTAACTTTCATACTTATTTGTGTTGCCACCTTTCTGGTATTCTTTGGCAATTTATTTATTATAAAGTAGATATGGATCTCTTTGAATTTATTCTCCCTGGAGTTAAATAAGATTCTTGGATGCATAGATACATGATTTCCATCCAACTGGGAAGTTTTCTGCCATAATTTCTTTAAATCTTCTTTTTGATTTTTTTCTATTTATTTTTCTTTATTTGTTTTTTATTTTTCTTGTTCCACAGACTACATAATTTCAACTGGCCTATCTTCAAGTTTGCTGATTCTTTTTATGCTTTCCCCAGTACACTATTTAGTGACTTTTCCATTTCAGTTACTTTATTTTTAACTCTCAAATTTGTGTTGGTTCTTTTTTTAAAACAATTTTTTTATGCTCTGTTTAATGAGATGTTGTTTTCATGATTTTCTTCAGTTATTTTATATAGTTTCCATTAGATCTTTGTATAAATTTTTTTTAGATCTTTGTATAAATTTTAAATAGTGATTTAAATAGTTGATTATCTAGTAAAGCCAACATCTAGGCTTTATTTCTTTATTTCACTGCATATGGGTTATATTTTGTTTCTTATTTGCATACTTCATAATTTTTGGTTGAATATTATAATGTAGCAATCATGGAAATCAGACTCTTTCCCCCTTGTGTTGTTTGTTGTTGTGGCTTTGTTGTAGCATTTTTTTGTTTATTGACCTCTTAGAACTGATTTTGTGAATTCTGTATTTTTTGTTGTGTGTGGCCACTGAAGTTCCTTCTCTGGTTTCTTAGCTGGAAATTTGACAGAGATACCATCAAACACTTAGACCCCCCCAAAAAGCTTGGAAAACCTGGCTGTCTTTGCAGATGTGTGCTGTGTTTGTTGGGTGCTCCTTTACCAGTTCACTTTAGCCTTTAGTGCCTACTTGTTTGATGGTTAGTCTGAGGTGAGAACGTGTGGTCTTTTCAGATATTTACTGAGCACGCACAACCTACCCCTGAGCATGACCATTGCCCTCTAGCCTCACTGGAGAAAGGACTTCTCAAAGTCCCAAAGATTTTCATTCCCAAGCATTTTCACCTAGTCTTTTTAAAGTTAGTCTGTTGTTTGTTCCAAGTATTGTTTGTTGCAGTAGGCAACAGACATTTACCCTTAAATATTTTCAACAATTGTCCCCCAAGGGGCACCTCAGCTCTGGTAGAACTCTGAGTTGCATAAGATAAATGGAAAGCCTTGAGTTCTTCCAGGGAAACACAGACAGGTAAAATAAACAACTGCAGGAATAAGGTCCATTCGGCACATTCCAGAATTGGTACTTGTGCTAGGAATATAGGCTGTTGTTTAAGGCCACTGCTCAGTTGGGATTACATGGTGGGGCCAGAGCAGGTTAAAATACTACAAAACTTTTTTTTATAGATTTAGCTGTTTTTTCCTTGATTAAGTGGCCTCTGGATCTTGTAGGCTTTTGATAAGTTTCTGGAGCTCTAAAATGTTGATTCTGACAGTTTTTAAAAAACTATTTCTTGCTTTTGTGGAGGGATAGATTTTTGGAGTTTCCTGTTTCGTTATTTTCCTCCCGAGTATGTAGATGACTTTTTGAACATTTTGTTTCCATATCACATTATTCATTTTGGTGTTTCTCTTTAAACTTAGGATTTCTTTGATACGAAATGGTGATAAACTTCCATCTCAGGATCATTTAATTGTTCAAGAATACATTGAAAAGCCTTTTCTAATGGAAGGTTACAAGTTTGATTTACGAATTTATATTCTGGTAACATCATGTGATCCATTAAAAATATTTCTGTACCATGATGGACTTGTGCGAATGGGAACAGAAAAGTATATTCCACCTAATGAGTCCAATTTGGTAAGTGGTACCAGAGAGAATTTTTGTTTTCATTTATTTGTTTAATATATACTTACTGAAGTATCTATTACATATTTAAGATTGTATGAATCAAAATTGCTCATCTTAGGCTTTTATGATCTAGAAGAATCATATGTCCAAGCAAGACTGCCTCTAATTTTTGTTAGCACAACAAAAAAAGTAGGATTGTAAATTTACACTGATGAAATGTGAATTTAAGATATGATTTAGCAGTTTGTGTGCTTTTTAATGTTTATTAATCGGAACGTTTTGTAGATGCTTTTTCATTAAGATTTCTTTTGTGCAGCCATAACATATTCATGAAAGTCATACTGTAACATCATGGAAACCATCAACTGTAATTTGCAATTTATGAAAGCCAAGTTGCAATTTCTTATCTATACATAAAATTTTAGTTACCTTCTAATTCTATTTTTGGATCTACTATTCATAATAAAAATTGCAATTAATTATTGTTTTTTGTTTTGTCAAAAGCCTGATTATTGTTCCCTCCTAGTATTATGCACATAACTATCCCCAACAAGAGAGGTCATATTTCAAAATTGAATAGTGGCTGCTCATAAATTTTGCTGTTTGATACACTGAGAATATGTAAACATTGGCAAAGGAAGAACAAGGGAGCTGTCAAAGTTTTATAGGAAAGGCCATTAAAAGAAAGAAACATCTCATTAAAGGTCATAAGGAGTGGAGATAGCCAATCACCAAGAAATGTTTGAAATATACTATGTTGTAGGCATTGTGCTGGCTTTGGAAAAAGAATGACCAGGACAGATACAGTGCTTGACTTCTCAGAAGCAACACTCTAGTGGGGAGGCAAAAAATAAAATAAGCAAATATAATTACTGATGGTAAGTGTGATGGTCTAAGAAACTGAGGACGCTGTGGCAGTGCATAGCAGTGGCACCTGACCCAGTTTAGGATAAAGATTTAGAGAAGTAGTTTCTTTGTAAATTGAAGTCTGCATAATGGGGTGCTTATTCTGGTTTGGATGGAGTGAGGTGTGGGGTTGGCTGGTGCCAGAGGAATGAACAGATCAGAGGTAAAAGAGAGGGTAGTATGTCTGGAGAAAGCAGAAAATTCAGTTTGGCTAAAGTACAGATGAAGTTGGAGAGTTCGGCACAGCAGATCTTTCAAGACTTTGTAGTCCATGGTTGTGGTTTGGTGTGGGTATGAAGTGTCCCCCCAAAGCTCCTATGTTATTGCAGAAGTGTTCAGAGGTTCAGCCTAGCTTGAAGGAACTGACTGGGTGGTAACTGTAGGAAGGTGGGGTGTTACTGGAGGAGGTGGCTCACTGGGGTGTGCCCTGGGAGGGTTCCTCTTCCTTGCAGGCCCCTTTCCCTGTCCTTCTCTCTGCCTTCTGGCTGCCAGGAATGGATCAGTGCTCCTCATCACCCTCTCCCCACGAGGCACTGTCTTACTTGGGTCCAGAGCAATAGATTCAGACATCAGTGGACTAAACCTCTGAACTATGAGCCAAAATAAACTTCACCTCCTCTAAGTTGTTCTTGTCAGGTATTTTGGTCACAATGACACAAAACATGACATACCATGTCTAGGATTTTGGAATTTGAGTTAAAATGGAAGGGAGCATTGTGAGATTTTAAACTAAGGAAAGAAAGGGCGATATTTGTGTTTTAAAAAGGTCACATAGTCTGCAATGTGGGGGATGTGATTGGGGTGCAGATGGGTAGCATAGATTAGAGGAAGGGAGACAAGAGACTGAGCTTTAGTGTGATCACATATGAGAAGGGGAATGACTTAAACTGAAAATAACAGCATTGAGGCTGGACAGAGAATATGAAATAAATCTTGAGATTTATTTATGATAACATGGCTAAAACTGATATAATATGATGGCAGGTTGAATTTGTGGAATTGAGAGTAAGGGAGAGGAAAATCAAGAATAAAATTCAAGATCTTTGGCATGGGCAAGGGGGTGAATGGAACATTATTCACTGTGACAGGGGTTTATCAAAGATTTTGTGGAAAGTTTCTGTGTTCCTTTGAAATGTTTATGTGACCTCCAAGTGTATCTGTTCTGTAGGCATTTGGATATATTGTATGGGCTTTTGAAGTTCAGAAGAGAGGTCTGGACTGCAGGTGAATCTGGCACATGCCAGTTCATAGATTATAATTAAAATAATTGGAATTGGTAAAAATGGATTATCAGTTATGTGAGGCCGTAATAATTTTTTTTTTTGGTAGTATTGGAAAGAAGCCTTGGAAGCTCTTTTTTGGGTGTTTCTTTTTTTAACAAATGCTTTATTATTACATGTGAGGGTTGTGTGTATACAATTTGCTCAAGAATACTGGATTAAGAAATTATAATGAGTGAAGGGAAATGTGACCTCTAAAGTCTCATTTTGCCAAGTGCTCTGGAATCACAAAAGCTCCTGGCTTTGGTTTTTCATAGAACAAGGATGTTTTTCTATTTAAATGTCATTGTTAATTATCATACAACATCTACAATTTAATGACTGAATTCCTAGAATGAGATATGAAAACTAAAAAAGTGAAATATGAAATTTTATGCAAACTGAGACCACAGTTATGTAAAAGGTCAGTTTAAGATAAAAGATTGGGGGGAAAAAGAAATCAAACAACGTTTTCACTGGTTGTTTTGGGTATCAGGCTGCTGCATTCTCTTTTCCTATTTCCAACTTTTAAAACAGTGAACATGTATAATCAGCTGTGTATTTCTATGAAACTTAAATATTTAAAAACTAAATATAAAAAGATTTTAAGGCAAGAATGTCAGTTGTGTTGCCATGTAAGAAACATTCATTGTAGTGGTTGGCCAGTCCTTAAAAAGCTCTGTGTATATAATTCATTATGTTGGCACTGTTATATTCACAAACAGGGTAAAGTGGGATCATATCATTTTCACCCTTTGCAAGTTGCAAGATAGAACAAGGAATGTTTATTGCTAGCTTGATAAATCCATCAATTTTGTATTAATTGATCATTATATGAGACATTTTAAATTTTGGCTTATTTTTTAAGTTTGTTTAAGGAGAATATTGTCAACAAACTTAAGAACATAAAGAGACTAAAATGTAAGAGCCCCAGCATGGAGCACAGAACGTTTCCTGTTAATCATTCAGACACTCATAGCATCATGTGGTTCTGTCTGCCAGCCCTGAGTGCTCTGCCCTGTTGATGAGTTATAGTGACCCCCCTTCAGTAAAGGAGCCCTGAGGTTGTGTTTGGTAGTCCTGTCTCTTGATTTATGCTACTTGTCTGAGCTTTTGTTTTTTTTTACTTTTCTTTGAAAAGGCATAAAATGCTTTTGCAGAAAATTCCTTTCCTCAAATTAGGGTGAAAATGTTAAGGACCCAAAATATTAAAAACAAAGTAATGAAAACAAATTGGGAACATTTTGCTGCTTAGCAATAGATAGTTTCATACTTTAATCTAATTATTTTTTATGTACTATTCCATTGATGCTTCTTTATGATAGCTAATGTTGTGAATCCTATATAAGGTGATTTTGTAGGTGATTACATTCTTAATCCTTTCAAGGGAAATAGGCCATTCCATTTCAATTGAAAATTACCCAAATAATAAGACGATTGGCAATCTGTATAGTTTAAAACCATTTTTAATAATTGAACGCCTTCTTTTCTGTGAAAATACACAGTTGCAGAGTCGCCTAGGTGGTTATGACTTTGGTTCTTACTCCTTACAGACCCAGTTATACATGCATCTGACAAACTACTCTGTGAACAAGCATAATGAACGTTTTGAACGGGATGAAACTGAAAACAAAGGCAGCAAACGTTCCATCAAATGGTTTACAGAATTCCTACAAGCCAATCAACATGACGTTGCTAAGTTTTGGAGTGATATTTCAGTAAGATTGTCTCATTCAATTGTAACCATCTTTTCTCAGCATTAATTTAAAATGCCATGAAGCACTTAAAATAAAGAACAGATTACATCAGATTGTGCAGATAAAGAGCATTTTCATGAAGGATGTGGACCTTGTGATGGACCTTGACAAGTAGGACTTTAAAAACTGCTAGAGAGAGGAATTTTAGGTGAAGACAAAACATAGGTAAAGGCTTGGAGGTATGAGAGTAGTGATAGGTGGTGTAGGTTGTCATGTAAGGTATGTGGGATATCTTGGAGACTTACTGCTGAAAAGATATGTGGGGCCAAATTTTAGGTCTGAAAAGTGAGGCATAGCTTGGTCAGCAGTGGAGATTTATTCAGTTTTTTTTTTTGGAAGAGAGCAATATAACCCAAACCAATGCACTTAAAAGATATATATATATATATATATATATAAAAATAGGGGTAGTATGGTTTAAAGTGAAGATCCAGAGTAGACAGGGAGGGCACTGGGAGTCTCTAAAAGTAGTTGAAGTGAAAAGAATGGTCTGAATTGAACCTCAGTAAAAGAGGTGACAGTGAGGTAAATATTGGGGTGAACTGAGTATCTATGGTGGAGACAATTGGAGTCCCTTCTGAAGTTTTCAGGAAGATTTGTAGGAAGAATGTGTGTTGCATTATCTGAATTAGACTGAGAAGGAATTTATTTTAAGAAGATGTAGAATCTTCTTTTGAAGATGAAGGAAAAGAGTTTTGTTCACTTATTCATTTGTTCATTCAGTCATGTAATACATGGCATAAGTCTGTCTCTGGTTGATAACTTGAAAAGTTAAAAGTCACAGCTTTGATGGTTACACAAAAATTGTTAATAGAAGGCAGTGTCATGAGTACAACAGAGGCATGCGTTCCATACCATGGAGATGTGGAAGAAGACCACACCTGGTAGCTTCAAGTGATGTAGACAGAAAGCAGAACTTCCTGGAAACAGAGACACCTGAGCAGAGGTTTTTAAAGTGCATGAGGCTGTGGTGGTGAGTTCCACTTTGGATATGCTGATCTTGAAGTGCTGTCTTAGGTAGAAAGTCAAGAAGGCAGTGAAAAGTGTGTGTTTGGGGTACAACTGAATTAAAGCTGTGGCAGTGGTGAAATTCCAAAAGGTGAAGATATAAAAGAAAAGGAAATGGATATAAAGATAATCTTGGTGGAACAGATCCCTTATCAGTCCTGACGGAAGTATAAAAATAGTATTTATAGTTACAGTATGTCTGCTGAAAGTCTCCGTATAATTAAGACCATACAACTCATCTGAGGTTTCTTCTTAGAATGATCAAATAATACATCTGTCATGGAAGATGGTCATGAAAGTTCAGAGTTGGTTGGACTTGGTTCTAGTTAAAAGGTTCTTGATATTTTTCAAGAAAAATATCACCTTACTTGTCTGATACCTAAGGGCCTATAAGTCCAAGGTTCTTAGGTATCAGACAAGTAAGGTGTGAAGTGATCTGAACAGAAGAAAGGCAGGGTGTGGTATGCTGGGAACAGCGGCAATGCGAAGAGAGTGAGAGGTCCAAAGTGGGTGCGGGCTACTCAGCATGAACCTGTTGGTGCCACGTGGTACTCTAGGCTCAGCGTTACTCATCTGCTAATTTGTTAATAGAAGACATAATGATTTAGCTATATTGGAAATTAATTCAAGAATTTATTAAAAAAATGTTGTCATCTGGATGTGGTCTGTTACCTAAAAATTTGTTAACTTTCAACTATATCATCCTGAGAGACTAAATACACTAAATAAGAAATTTGATTATAAAAATGTGTACTTGTTGGTTTCATTTATCAAGGCCAGTTTTGTGGAAATTCCAAAAATTGTTGTCTACTATCATAGTGGGTTGGAAGCATCCAGGTGGTGAAATTCATTTTCTTTGGAGAGTACCTCACTGATGGAAGGTCATACGTAATGACCTCTGGATGATTAATTGAATGAGCCATTAGATGATTAGCTCAGTGATATCAAGAAAGTTTTACAGACCCTCTGGCATTCCGTTTTTTTTTTTTTTAATCAAAGTTTTTTTTTAATTTAATTTATTTTTTTATTATTGGTTGTTCAAAATATTACATAGTTCTTGACATATCGTATTTCATACATTTGATTCAAGCAGATTATGAACTCCCATTTTTACCCCGTATACATATTGCAGATTCACATCGGTTACACATCCACTGTTTTACATACTGCCATACTAGTGTCTGTTGTATTCTGCTGCCCTTCCTATCCTCTACCATCCCCCATCGCCTCCCCTCCCCTCCCATCTTCTCATCTACTGTAATTCATTTCTCTCTCTTGTTTTTTTCCCCTTTCCCCTCACTTCCTCTTATATGCAATTTTGTATAACAATGAGGGTCTCCTTCCATTTCCATGCAATTTCCCTTTTCTCTCTCTTTCCCTCCCCCCTCTCGTCCCTGTTTAATGGTTATTTTCTTCTCATGCTCTTCCTCCCTATTCTGTTCTTAGTTGCTCTCCTTATATCAAAGATGACATTTGGCATTTGTATTTTAGGGATTGGCTAGCTTCACTTAGCATAATCTGCTCTAGTGCCATCCATTTCCCTGCAAATTCCATGATTTTGTCATTTTTTTAGTGCAGAGTAATACTCCATTATGTACAAATGCCACATTTTTTAATCCATTCATCTATTGAAGGGCATCTAGGTTGGTTCCACAGTCTAGCTATTGTGAATTGTGCTGCTATGAACATCGTTGTAGCAGTATCCCTATAGTACGCTCTTTTAAGGTCTTTAGGGAATAGTCCAAGAAGGGGAATAGCTGGGTCAAATGGTGGTTCCATTCCCAGCTTTCCCAGGAATCTCCATACTGCTTTCCAAATTGGCCACACCAATTTGCAGCCCCACCAGCAATGTACAAGTGTACCCTTTTCCCCACATCCTCGCCAGCACTTGTTGTTGTTTGACTTCATAATGGCTGCCAATCTTACTGGAGTGAGATGGTATCTTAGGGTGGTTTTGATTTGCATTTCTCTGACTGCTAGAGATGGTGAGCATTTTTTCATGCACTTGTTGATTGATTGTATATCCTCCTCTGAGAAGTGTCTGTTCAGGTCCTTGGCCCATTTGTTGATTGGGTTATTTGTTATCTTATTGTTTAATTTTTTGAGTTCTTTGTATACTCTGGATATTAGGGCTCTATCTGAAGTGTGAGGAGTAAAAATTTGTTCCCATGATGTAGGCTCCCTATTTACCTCTCTTATTGTTTCTCTTGCTGAGCAAAACCTTTTTAGTTTAAGTAAGTCCCATTTGTTGATTCTTGTTATTAACTCTTGTGCTATGGGTGTCCTATTAAGGAATTTGGAGCCTGACCCCACAATATGTAGATCAGAGCCAACTTTTTCTTCTATCAGATGCAGATAGAAGAAAAAGTTGGGTTTGATTCTTTGAGGAGGTATTTGTGAAATCATGGGAACTGTTGGACTTCTTTAGGAATGTATAGGGGGAATCAGCCAGAGAGAGATAAGCATCATTATTCTTGCAGACATGGGTTTTAGGTGATACTTTTTCTAGACAATTGAATTAGAAGAAGATCCATAAGCAAGACTAGTAGAGGGCAAGGGAATTGACTTTTCCGTTATTAGCTCAAGTATAATTTTTAGAAGTGAACCCAAAATTGCTAATGTAGGCCTGTTGAACTCTGACACATTTCATGATCTTGTCTGTAAGTGGATAAATTTTGTATCATTATTGGCTGTTACTTAGAATATTATATCAATAATCTGTAAATAACCAGTTACGTCATAATATTTTTGCCAAAGATGTATGATTATGTACATAATTGTTGGCATACATATAATTATTTGAAAATATGCCTTATTAAGAATAGGTATACTTTATATAAATATTTGTTTAAGGTGAATCAATGGTATAATATAAAAATAGAATTACAGGAAAAGGTAGAGATAACTATTATGCAGTACATTTTTATCTGAATGCCTTGATTTACAAATTCCATGAATTAACTAAGGCTCTTTTAAAAAATATATTTTTTATGATTTTATTTATTTTTTTATGTGGTGCTGAGGATGGAACTCAGTGCCTCACCTTTGCTAGGCAAGTGCTTTACTACTGAGCTAAAGCCAGCCCCTAAGGCTTTTTTTTAACAACCTGTTTTTTAGATGCTTTTTTCAAAAAGTAACCATCTGTATATGAAAACTAACATTCACGAATACCTTCTGTGAAAATCAGAGCTGTGTGTTTTTGTGCTGGTCAAAAATGAGTAAGAAATCAGTATTAAATCAGGCCACATGGTATATATATACACAATGGAATATTACTCAGCCACAAAGAAGACGAAATTATGGCATTTGCCAGTAAAGGGGTGGAACTGGAGACCATCATGCTGAGTGAAATAAGCCACTCTCAAAAAACCAAAGGTTGAATGTTCTTTCTGATATGTGGATGCTAACATACAATATGGAAGGGAGAGCCAAGAATAGAAGTTCACTGGGTTAGACAAAGGGGAATGAAAGGAGTAGAGGGGGATGGGAATGGGAATGAAAGTAGAATGAATTGGACATAACTTTCCTGTGTTCATATGCGAATACATGAAACTCCACATTATGTACAATGGCAAGGATGGGATCCTAATTAGAATTAATTATACTCCAGGCATGTATAATATGTCAGAATACACTCTACTGTCATGTAGATCTAAAAAGAACCAATAAAAATAAATAAAAAGAAAGGCTACAGAGATTAAAAATGAGTATAAACACTCATAAAATCATCTCTACTGTGTGCTTTTTATACAAATATACTTAATATACAAATTTACAAATCATATACAAAACAAGGTCACTATTGGAAATTCCCCCAAATAGTGGTGGAATTTCATTTGCATTTGGTTATATCACTCTGAACTTTCACATCTACTTGCAGCTTTGCCTTTACCACTTCGAAGTGTTGTTTTCTGTGAAGCGAAAACACAGGTTTTTAATTCAAGATCTTGTTACATAAGCCATTACCCTAGCCTGTCTTGTTTCACAGAGATACTTCCTGGCTAAATTTTAACTTTCTCCTACTCTTTAGAGGTTTCAGTGATATCTCCAAAGATTTATGTGACATGGCTTTAGTCTCTTATATGCCATGGTTTATGGTGAATTTATTATCTTAACTTCCTGAGAACAACTCTTTATGGCATCTCTCATACTTATCCCCAAGTATGAGCTGTACTATGGTTGTGAGTAACTATGAGGTTAATGTATATATTATAACTATAATAACTATTGCTCCCACTAGGAAGTAGAATACTTGCATCAGACCTGACGTGAGATGGAATTCAAGAGAAATGATGGATTGGCAATAACAGAAATAGTAGTTAAGTAGCTAACAGTTATTGCAGGTTTACTCTATGCTAGGCACTATGTTAAGAGTTTTGCGTGGAATCTCATTCTGTCCTTATGTCAGTCTCTTTCAGTTTGCATTTAGGAAAAATGAGACTCAGTGTTTAAGCAACTTGATTGAGGCTGCACAGATAAGAAGTAGCAAAACCAAAGCCAGGAGTAAATCCAGAAGTCTGACCTAGAAATCTGTTTCTCAGCTGCCTTCCTGTACTGCCTGTACTTGCAGAGAAAGTGTTAAAAAGCCAACGTTAAACAAAAAATTAGTCAAGATAGGTATATTTCCATAATTCATTGCTTTTTCTCAAACATCAGTGAAATTCATTTGGAAAAATAAGAGGTCCAAAATAGTCAAAGCCTACCTTACTGAGAAAAGTAAAGCAGGGGGCATCACAATCTCAGACCTTAAATTATACTACAGAGTTATAGTAACAAAAACAGCATGGTATTGGCATCAAAACAGGCATGAAGACCAGAATAGATAACACAGAGACAAATCCACAAAAACACAGTTAACTCATATTAGACAAAGGCACCAAAAATAAACCCTGGAGAAAGAAAGCCTCTTCGACAAAGGTTTTGGGAAAACTGGAAATTCCTATCTAGCTGTATGAAATTTAACCCTCATCTCTCACCCTCTACACAACTCAACTCAAAGTGGATCAAGGATCTAGGAATTAGACCAGAATCTGCGCACATACTAGAAGAAGATGTATGCCCAACACTCCAACACGTTGGCTTAGGAACTGACTTCCTTAACAAGACCCCTAAAGTGCAAGAAGTAAAATCAATAATCAGCAAATGGAATGGCATCAAACTACAAACCTTCTTCACAGCAAAGGAAACAACCAAGAACGTGAAGAGAGAGCCCATAGATGGGAGAAAATCTTTGCTACCTGCACCTCAGATAAAGCATTAATTTCCAGGATATATGAAGAATTAAAAAAACTTAACATCAAAGAAACCAAATAACCCGATCAATAAATGGCAAAGGGACTAAACAGACAACTTCTCAAAAGAAGAAATATGAATGATCAACAAATATTTGAAAAAATGTTCAACATTTCTAGCAATTAGAGAAATGCAAATTAATAAGTACACTGAACTTTCATCTCATTCCAGTCAGAATAGCAATTAAAAAGAATACAAGTAACAATAAATGTTGGTGAGGATGTGGGAAAAAAGGTACACTCGGACATTGCTGGTGGGATTGCAAATTGGTGAGGTTGCAACCACTCTGGAAAGCAGTATGGAGATTCCTTAAGAAACTAGGAATGGAATCAGCATTTGAATTGGTTATCCCACTCCTCAGTATAAAATCAAGGGACTTAAAACTAGCATACTACAGTGATACAGCCACATCGATGTTTATTTATAGCAGCTCAACTCACTATAGCTAAGCTATGGAACCAACCTGTGTGCCCATTATTAGGTGACTGGATAAAGAAAATGTGATTTATATACACAATGGAATATTTCTCAGTCTTAAAGAAGAATGACTTTCTTATTGACTTTACAACATTTGCTGGTGAATAGATGGATCTGGAGACTCTCATGCTAGGTGACATACACCAATCCCCCGAATCCAAAGTTCCGATGTTCTCATAAGGGCAGGGAGGGGAAGAATAGAGGTTCAGTGGATTAGACAAAGGGAAATAAAGGGAAAGGAGGAGGGATAGGAATAGGAAAGACAATGGAATTAATCTGACATAACTTTCCTATATACATGAATATCCCATAATGAATCTCAACATTGTATACATCCATAAGACTGAGATCCTAATTGGAGTAAAATATAGAATAAGATATCCTCCATGTTTCAATAAATATATCAAAATAGGCTTTACTGACATGTATAACTCAAAAGAACAAAAATAAGCAAAACAGCCTTCTTAAAAATAAGTTAGTAATTAATCCTAGTTTCTATTTTGTGTTTCCTAACAGAAAATGTTGATAGCCAGTTCTTTAATTGGAAATATTATCATCTCAGATAAACCTTAAGAACTACAAAATCATCATGGTACAAAAAACAACAACAACAACAAAAAAAACCTCTAATGGATTATATTTTTCTAGCCCTTCCATCCTTTGTCTCAGTAGAGGTCCCATGGTGTTATTTGTAAGATAACTCTCCTTGAATTTTTTCTTCCCAATTACTCTCATCCCTTTCTGTATGGGGCTAGCATATGCTCCTGATCTTACGTATTGAACAGATAGAACCGCATGTATCAACTTTTTTTTTTTTTTTTTGGTTACCATTGTTTTTGAGCATCTACTAATGTGAGGCAGTATTTTAGGTACTGAAATGGGACTGTAAATAAGACAGTCAAGGGCCCTTCTTTGACAAAAAGAGCTGGTTATATCCTGTGTGTAGTGATGCAAAAAGCAATCATGGTTGGTTATTTTTCAAATGGGTTTGAGAAAGGCCTGTGAGAATATCAGAGAGTCAGACAGGGGAGTGAGTGAGTGCAGGATAAAGAGTGTTCCAGGAAGAGGGAAGAGCTAGTGCACGGGATCCAAGCTAGGAGGGAGTGCCATTTACTGGAGAAACCCAAAGAAAGTGAGCATGACTGGGGCCTCGAGGGCATGGGAAATGGTTGGATGAAATGAAGCCAGAGCAGTGGCAGAGGACAGATGCCATAAAGCTTAGGAAACAGGGTCAGGTTGCTAGTTTGTAGGCCTAGGTCATGTCATCCTGGTATATATGTAAATGAGATGCAAAGAAATAAGTCATCTTCACCTCTTTTGTCGTAATCTTTGTAGGAATTGGTGGTAAAGACTCTGATTGTAGCTGAACCTCATGTCCTGCATGCGTATCGAATGTGTAGGCCTGGTCAACCTCCAGGCAGTGAAAGTGTCTGCTTTGAAGTCCTGGGATTTGACATTTTGTTGGATAGAAAACTAAAACCATGGCTTCTGGAGGTAAGGCACTCTTTAAAAAGTCAGAGAAGTTATCACTGTTGTGTATTAAAACTTGTGTTTTATAAACGTGTTCTTGGCACCGTTGTCCTCATTAACCGACTAGAATCAGGCCTGACTAGAGTATGTGGGAGGAAGAAAATGAAAATTCAGGGATTCGCATACTTCTAAGACTGAATCAATATGTGTGTGATATTACTTTCCCCAAGTAATTAGCATTCAGTGAATTTTTAGGATTAGAGATTTTTGAATGTAAGCACAAATCTACTTTTCCTGAGTTATTGAGTTAGTACTTACTTGATCTACGAATTCTGGGTATGATCTTTCCTCTGTGTGGCTGCCTGGGCTTCAAGACCCAGCCTTCAGTGTGTCTCTTTTCAATCTCTCTAAGAAGACAGAAGTTTTAATTGGTTTATTAATCAATATTTAACGTCCGGTACACCAGGTGGAGTAAATTGTCCTTTAAGGCCATATTATATGCCTGGGGGTCCCCTCAGGTCCAACCTGTTAACTGTATGCCTTTGGGTTTGCTGCTCAACCAGGTAAGGCCAGAGTTTTCATTACTTTCTTTGATTATACAAGGTCACCTAAAACCATTTGAAAAATATGGAATAATATTACGGAGGAAACTAAAATTACTGCTGTTTAAGATGTTTATGTTTCCAGAAGTCATATTTATTTTACCCATGGGAAACGTTGGAAATCATGCTGCCCAGACATGCTCCATCCTGCATCTCCCTCCAAGCTCCCTGAGCTGGGGTCATGGAACTTTCTCATGGCTACTGAAACACTGTGTTTAGGCAGCTGTCAGAAAAATAGCACATATCAAAGCAGTATTTACTGAATTAATAACATATTGCTACAGAAGTTATAATCAATAGTTACCTTTTGTTTTAAATCGATAATCTCTTTTTTTTAGCCATTTAGAAGTTGGAAATTGCATTGTAATACCAAGTTTTGTATAAGCAAGCTGAATGAGTGATAGGTGAGATCATGATGTTTGCAGTACATATTTTATAGATACGAACTTTCCTAATTTGAAGGCCAAACCTCTGTGTGTGTGTTCATCTCTCTGGGCAAATAATGTGTATTATATCTTCATGTAAATAAAGTTCCCTGCTGGCTATTCATATTTTGGTCAACCTGGCACTAGCAGTAAGATTACAGTGAAGAATTTTGCTTACCCTTTGCTCCCTCCATTCCTTAGATAGAAAAGCATGACTGGATGGTTGAATTCTGTATGTTTTTTTAAAGACTAGAAACACCATCTTCCTTCATTCTTTATACTCTGCATCATTATTTCCAGATCAGTCAGAACCATTAAAAACCTCTAAAATAAACAAAATCTGTGTATGATAAACATTTATATATTAAAACAGTTAAAAGAATTTTTTTAAGATCTTGGTTTGTATTTTGCACCCATCTGAAATTTTAGTGGTTCTGATGCACATTGTTAAAAACCTTTTGGCGCCATCAAGTGGAATAAGGTAGAAGCTACATCTGAGAATGTGACAGCTAACTAGAATAATTTCAGGTAATGATTGGTAGTGGTAAAATTTGAAGAAAATTTCAAACATAGAAAGCATTTTAAAAATGAAAATTTGTGCAGAGTGTTAATATATTGTCAATACTTTAAGTACCCTTGAATTAAACAAGGACCCATTGAGTTATAGACATGGTGCTAGGTGGTGGGGAAACAAGAAGAATCAGACAGAATACTTGCCTTGGTTTAGTGGAGACCCAGATGTGTGTTTTATGGTAATAGTTGGAAGCATTAACAAGGAAACAGAAAAACAGCACAAAAATAGTGATTAATCTCTATGTGCAGATATGTATAATTGAGAATTTAAACTAACAAATGAAAAAATCCAAACCAAATCAAACCAGACCAAACCAAACAAGAAATCTCTGCCAGTACATGTGCCTGAATTCCAGCAACTTGGAAGGCTGAGGCAGTAGAATCACAAGTTCAGGGTCAGCCTCAGCAACTTAGTGAGACCCTCAGCAATTTAGCAAGACCTTGTTTCAAAAAAAAAAAAAAAAAAAAAAAAAGCTAAGGATATAGCTCAATGGTAAAGGGCCCCATCCCCAGAAACACCCTCTCCCCCAAATCAAAAGAAACGATGAGAACTTTGTACAAAGAACATCTGAGCAGTCTTTAAGGCTGACATAGGGAGTTGGGCTGGGAGAGATTAGGTGAGGGTCAGGGAAGAGCTGTGGGACTGAAGGAACAGCAGTAATAATGTAGGAGCATCACCTAAATTAGTTTTTCTTCTGTCTGTGCACATATTAGTTTATCTTGTGTGGGTAAATTTTTCAAATACTAATTTCTTCTGTATTGTAGTAGATGGAAGAAAGAAGTATATGAAAATTGTCTTATACTGAGATGTCAGTAGCATCTTGGAGGAGGTGTATACCTGGCAGAATTCCCCACTGCAATTTGGAATGGAATAGCTAAATAATTCTACAAAGATAGATAATATTCTAGTGAAACCCTTAATCATCAGTTCCTAAATCTGGTTTACTTCATAATCTTGTTACATGTAGCAGCCAGAGCTATATCATTAATCACCTTAAAATTTCCAGGGATTTGAATTAGTATGGTTAAAACTTTTTTCATATAAATATATTACTTTATCCTTTCTCTGCACTTGTAAGGGGGAAAGGCTTAGAGCTTTGAAGTAACAGATTAATAAATTCTGTTTTTCAAACTGACCTAGAATATATGGATGTTCTTATAATTCTCAAGCTATTTCCTTATCTTTAGACCACATCACACAAAGACAGGATTATGTCACCTTCTAAGTCAGAAATCAACAGAGAAGTCAAAATATTACATGACCTTTGTCTGTGAAGGGAGTATGATGCATTCATCACAATGATGGCTTGATGAAAGATTTGCATGATACATTGTTAAGGAAAAACTTGGATTATAAAATAAAGTATGGTTAGTATAGACATGTATTTAGAAAATAAAATGAATTGTAATATATATATATATATGCATAGAAAAAGTAAAGTATGGTTAGTATAGACATCTAGAAAATAAAATGAATTGTAATATATGTATGCATAGAAAATGTCTGAAATACTCTTGACCAAATGGTTAAGAATATACCAGGGAGTGGAATGACAGGTGATTCTTTGCTGTTTGCTTTGTTTCTATTTACTATTTTTCTGCTGTGAAACCGTGCCACTTTTCCAATTAGAGAGATGACATTTCTGGATGTAGTTTTTAGTATAATATGGTATTTCCTCAGGTCTCAGCTATAGAATGTATGCTATTGGTTGTCCCTTGTGATGAATTTTTGTAATTATGTCTAGAAGCGTATACTTTTGTTGAGATAGTTTAAGGGGTCAGTTGGTAATGAAGAAATGAAGTTATAGTTTTAAACTCATCAATATTCTAACCAACTCATTTAATTTAGAGTCTTAAAAACCTGCAGTGCCCATTAGTTTTCCTAACAACAACAGTATTAAAACCCAACAACAACAAATACAAAAAGAAAATCTCTAGCCCTTGAGAATAGTACAGTATTGTACAAGGAATTTCAAGGTGTGTGTGTGTGTGTGTATTTTATATATGTTATATTTATATATATATATATCTTCTTTTTCATCTTGATAAATTCCTGGGAATAATGTCAGAATGTAGGATGGTCAGGAATGGCTCATTTATCCCCATTAGTCTGTTCTTGTATGGTTAGAAAGGCTCTTAGAGATCTGCAGCTACCCTTAAGAGGTAACATCTTCTCAATAGGTAATGGAGGGAGGGTAGGGGAAAAGGAGAAGGAAGGACAGTGGAATGAATCTGACAGAATATTTCTGTGTACACATGAGAAAACATAACAGTGAATCCCATCATGGTGTACATCCACAAGAATGGCATCCTAATTAGAATAAGATATACTCCATGCTTGTATAATAATTATGTTAAAATGGATCCTACTGTCATGTATAACTAAAAAGAACCAATAAAAAAAGAGTATCTCTGAGAAATTCAGTCCAATGCCTTTTGAAATGAAAATTGATGAATCATTGTTTGAGCCAGCTAGAAAACACAATTTATTTTCTATGCCTCAAAAGGTGACTTCATCAGGAATATCTGAAGCAGTGAAAAGAGAGCACTGATATTTTCTACTTGCTAAAAATGTACATGTATGTAATTATTATGGTGTTGGTAATGTGCATGTCACAATCACTGTTCTTCCAACTTTTTGTCAAGTTATGTTCCTTTTAACTTCTCTAAACTTAAAAACTCCAGTGTTGGGTTAATGGGCTGGAGAGAGTGGCCAGGTGATGCCGACTGACAATCTAGATCTTCAACTTGAGACAACAAGAGCAGGAGGTCATGCTCCTAGTCTATTCCTTGCCATTCCTTGACCTAGGGTGATGGGCAGGTAAGATACGGTAGTGGTGACTGGGCCTTCCACCACACAAAGCTTTGGTATTTATTGTGGCTCCTTCTCCTGATTGCAGATATAACATTAGATCAACAAACATGTGTGGAATATTTATTGACCTTCCAACATTTGGCTGCCAGCATTGTTTTCTTTGTAAATTTCAGATTAATCGAGCCCCAAGCTTCGGAACTGATCAGAAAATAGACTATGATGTAAAAAGGGGTGTGTTGCTCAATGCACTGAAGCTACTAAACATCAGGTAAAGTATTTCCCCCATTTGTTGGAACTTTTCCCATACTTGGCATAGGTAAATCACTTGTATATGAAATTGGCTTGTAGTCATTTGTATTTTTTTACTTTGAATTTTTAATTTCATTTTTTAAACCCATATAGTTTTTTAAAAATATTTTCCCCTTCTTCCTGTAAACTCCTTTTCCTCACTCCCCTTCCCATATAATACTCTACACCTGCAGTAATTATGGTTAAATTATAGTAAGTACTGGGAATATAAAGTCTCCTATGATTCCTAGGTTTCTGGCTTGGATTGTTTGATAATATGTCATTCATTGAGATAAAGATTATAGCAGAGGTATAAATGGGGAGGAGTGATGGAAGAAGAGAGGGCACAGAAGGGAGAGATATAATTCAATTTTAAACACACTAATTTTTTATTTGTTCTAATTACTGTATATGAGAGTAGAATGCATTTTGACATATCATACATAAATGGAGTATAACTTCTCATTCTTCTGATTGTACAGGATGTAGGATCACACCGGTCATATAATCATATATGCATATAGGGTAATGATGTCTGATTCATCCTACTGTTCTTCCCACCCCTATGTCCCCTCCCTTCCCTTTACTCCCCTCTGTCTAGACAAAATACCTCTATTCTTCACCTCCTGTCTTATTGTGAATTAGCATTTGCATATCACAGAAAATATCCAGCCTTGGATTCATTGGGATTGGCTTATTTTGCTTAGCATGATATTCTTCAGCTCCATCCATTTACTTGCAAATACCATCATTTCTTTCTTCTTTAAGGCTGAGTAATATTCCATTGTGTATGTATACCACATTTTCTTTATCCATTCAACTGTTGAAGGGGGCACCTATGTTGGTTCTATAGTTTAGCTGCTGTGAATTGAGCTGCTGTAAACATTGATGTGACTGTGTCATTGTAGTATGCTGATTTTAAGTCCTTTGGGTATAAACCGGGGAATGGGATAATTGGTCAAATGGTTGTTCTATTCCAAGTTTTCTGAGGAATCTCCATACTGCTTTCCATAGTGGTCACACCAATTTGCAGCCCCACCAGCAATGTATGAATATATCTTTTTCCCTATGTCCTTGCTAACTGCTATTGTTGCTTGTATTCTTGTTAATTGCCATTCTGACTGAAGTGAGATGAAATCTTACTGTAGTTTTAATTTACATTTCTCTAATTACCAGAGATGTTGAACATTTTTTTCATGTATTTGTTGATCGATTGTATATCTTTTTCTGAGAAGTGTCTGTTCAGCTCCTTAGTCCATTTATTGATTGGGTTGTTTTTTAAATTTTTTTAATATCTCCTGGAGATTAATGCTCTATCTGAGGTGTATGAATGTGTTAATTTAAAGATGATTTGAGACACAGAGATAGAATTGTTAAATGGTAAATTTGATACATAGGGACTCAGGAGGTAGAGATATCTGATTGACACTCATGTACAGATTGCAGTTGATTCTAATGAATAAGATCAGACAGTTGGATTCTGTATTTTAAGAACTAAAGAGGGGCAGAGTCAGAGCACCAAGAGATGCTAGCATTTGAAGAGATTTTTATAAGCTCTGATATTCTGATCAGATAGTTTCCATACTATAAGACAGAGTTTAACTCCTTTATATTACATACAAGGTACTTTTTGATCTGGCCCTTGCATCTCTCTCCAACCCAATCATTTCTTGTTCTTTTTTCTCTGCCTTGGGATTGATTTTTCTAAGAACTTTTTTGTGTTGTTCTCATTAATATGCTTTTTCACTTTCTTACATTTAATATTCATGCACCTTTGTCCCTCTGGTGAATGTCAAATATTTTTAATTGTGGTAAAATATAGTTAGCATAAAATTTACCATCTTAACCATTTTTAAGTGTACAGTTGAGTGGCATTAAGTACATTCACAGTATTATGTAATTATCACCACCCTGTGAGAACTCTTCATCTTGCAAAATTGAAACTCTACACCATTTGGTCCTAACTCCTCATTCACCTCACCTCCTAGTTTCTGGAAACCACCATTACACTTTTGATGAATTTGAGTGCCCTATTTTTATCTCATAAGAGTGCAATCATTTGGTATTTGTCTCTTTGTTAGTGGCACATTTCACTTAGCATGGCTTCAGGTTCATTGTAACTTGTGTCAGAATTTCTTTCCTTTTTAAAAAAGTCAGAGTAACATTTCTTTGTATGTTGTCTTAGATTGTTTTCTGAAGGGATACCTGACACTAGGAAATCTATAGACAACAGGTTTACTGAGGTGACAATTCTAGAGATCCAAAAGCATGGAGCAGGCATCTGCTCAGCTTCTTGTGAGGACTTCATGTTGCAGGGTAGAAAAGAGCAAAGAAAAGAGAGGCATGCAGAAGAGCACATTTACAATAGTGAATCAGGAGAAGCTGATCTGTTTTATAAACAACCATTTCTCGCGGTAACTAATTCAGTGCCGTAGTATCCATCTCAATGCTGCAAGGCTTAATGCAGTCTCAAGAGAACTAACCTAGTCTCTGTAGAAAATCATTAATCCATTCCTGACAATGGTGCCACAATGATGTAATCACCTGACACTGGGTTCTACCTGTTAAAGGTCCCATCACCTCTCAGTACTGTTAAATTGGGGACCAATAGCACATGAAATTTGGGGGGAAATATCATAACCAAACCATAGCATACATATTGATCATATGTTTGTCAACTCATTCTTTTTTTGAATTTTTAAATATTTTTAAGTTTTTTGCAGACACAACATCTTTGTTTGTATGTGGTGCTGAGGATCGAACCCGGGCTGCACGCATGCCAGGCGAGCGCGCTACCGCTTGAGCCACATCCCCAGCCCCTGTCAACTCATTCTTAAAACCTTGCTCAAACTTAATTTCCTGTTTGAAGCCTTTATTAAAGAATCATGGCTCACTTCTCCCTTTGTGCTATCATGATACTCTCACTTTGCATCCATCTCCCCACTCTGTTTAAACTGTCACCTCCTTGAGGGCAATGGCTCTATTTCTCTTTGCTTCTCCTGGGCTATATCTACAACTAGTATAGAGTGAGCAGTAAATATAATTTGGGTTGGAAGACAAGCCTAGAGGAAGGACATTTCATTTAAGTTAACTACTTGTTGAAAAATAGGTAAGTGGAAAGACAAAGCAAAGCATGTTCATAAATCTTCCAGTGATTCTGTACTTCTGCAGCATGGAGCAATATGAGACAAATGGTTAGAGAAATCCCTTGGATGGATTCACAGGGTAATGAGTAGTGGGAAGGAATCAAGAAAGTCATGAACAAAAATTTTTAGGACAGTGTATGGACATAGTTGAGTAGAAAAATGCTGATTAAAATGCTAAGTGAATCAGAATATTTCGGTCTTTGGTTAAATTTTTTTCTGGTCTGTGAAGTAAGTGCTGAGAGTCATTAGGTCTAACTTATGCCTGTAGTTATAGAAATGCAAACCAAGTTTTACAATGACAGTATTCTAAAGGCCAAATGTAAAGAAAATGATCTAATTAAAATATCATTATCATCTTAATCATAGTTGCAGTTCAAGAGCTATCTTGTAGTACTGGTATTATAGTCTGATTTGTGAATTAAAGATTTAATTTTCCTGCTTATTACTTTGCTATTTTTTTAAATGAAAGGCCATATAATAATAGTAATTTAAAAAAACTCAGTGTGGTTGTCTTTTATTCATTTTTTAATGTGTCTGAGAGGACTTCTGTGTGAGCTTGTTTTTGTTACTTTTCTGTTCATATGTGTTTGAGCTGTTTGTGTGTCAGTATCCTTGACTGTCAGAGTCTTGTTTGCTGTGAATGGCATCTAGGTCTGTGTTTATTTCTTTTCTAGCATATTAATTAAAATATCTCATTCCTTCTGTATTCGTCTTACTTTTCTTTTTCCTTTAAAAAATTTTACTTCCTTCTCCCCCCCTCCTTATTTTCTGTTTGGTCTTTTCCCCTTTATATTGTTTTCACTTTTTCCTTTCCCTCTCCTACCTGTAAACTGCATTCTATATAGAAATGATTTTTCTATATGAAATGGAATATAAAAAAGATCAAGTATCAAGAGCTACCTCAACCACTGCATTACCTCTTCCCTTCACTGAGAAAACTCGAAGACAAATTGTCTTCATCATTGGAAAAATGATATTCATAATTACCCACTCAGGAAAATCAGAAATTTTGGTATGATTACGAGTTTATTCCTTTTCCTTATTCTGCACATTGAATTAGTCACCAGAGCATTCCCATTCTTTCTCTAAAATATTCTTCTAAACTCACTCTTTCTTTAACACGCTGCTTCCCTGGTCCAGGTCTTCATATTTCCTATTGTTAGTGAAATAGTATCTCATCTTCCTACTTCTGTCCTCATCCTCTTCTAGGCCACCATACACCACACATACTGCCAAGGCCATAATCTTTATTTAACATATGCAAATATAATTATACCCCTCTTCTTTAAAAATTCATGTCTTTTTAATTGCCTAAAGATAAATTTGAAACTCAGTAACCTAGTGTTAACTCCTTATGATTACCTGAGTATCCTGCATTCACCTGTGGGTCCAACTGTACTGAATGGTTTCCAATGTTCTGGATATGTTTGTTTATTTTCTCGAATTATTTCTTTTATCCTGACCACCTGTTGAATGCCTACCACTGAAGCTTCAGTGTTGTCCTGAAAGAGAATGGATCAATTTCCTAGCACTCCTACAAGTTGGGGTTGTGAGGGAATATATACTTGAGGCAGTAGCAATTTCTTTACTGTCCAGAGTCTTGATCTCATATTTTCCTGGAAATCTTCTGATGAATTGAATGGGACCATATGTGAACTTAAGCACGTCTTTTACCTCTCCACGGCAGAAGGTGGCCAAATGATATTATGTCCAGTTCCTTTTGATTTGCATCCATACCTGCCAAGATAATAACAATATGAGGCATAGGCATATAAGCTCTGTTTTTCTCCCTAAGGCTGAGGGCAGAATTCGCTATGATTTTCCTTTATTCCTGAATTCCACCCTGTTCTTGAGAAGTCTTTCAGGGGTCATATGTAGGAGTACAAACTGGAAGAGTTAGAGAAGAGACCTCAGACTCATTGCACCAGCCAAATGGAGGGAAACAGGAAAAAGTGTCTCAGTGGAAAATATTTCAGGATTGGGTTTCTTCTATAAAAAACAGAGACTTATAACTAAATTTTTATGAATAAGCCAAAAATTAGAAAGAATGTGCAATTTTTTCAAACAAATAATGACTGTTAGGCTGGAATTTCAGTCATAACTGAAAATGTGCTCAGGAGTGGTCAGTATAAATGAGAGTGCTTAAATATAAATAGAATTGGTTGAAGTGGGAGAAGAGAATGACTAGTTACCTATTAATAGCACCACAAATTGATTTTTATAAGATCTCTAGGAGGGAAACATTATTATTTTTAATAAAAAATATGTGGGAAATAGACTTAGCACTTAATTGACCAGTGTCAGATTGTATAGCTGCTAAGGTGTTAGTATGGAATATCAAACTGGGACTCTCTGACTCTTGAAGCAAGCATATAGTATTTCCATTTTATCTTGGTATCATCTGTTTACCATGCAGAGTTCCATATATGGTGGGTGATTAGATGAATATATGTGAATATATAAAATCAACTTTTATTTCAATCTGCACTCTCTCTGTATATCTACAAATGCTCCTCATAGGAATAAGATCGGAACTTGTTTGAATTCTAGCATATGGTCTTGTGTTTCGTATTTTAGGACCAGCGATAAAAGGAGAAACTTGGCCAAACAAAAAGCTGAGGCTCAAAAGAGGCTTTATGGTCAAAATTCAATAAAAAGACTCTTACCAGGTTCCTCAGACTGGGAACAGCAGAGACACCAACTGGAGAGGCGGAAAGAAGAGTTGGTATGAACATTTTAGCAATGTATCCACAATTTCAATTGCATGACTCATGCATTGGGTTTTATTTGTAAACTCTTTATTTCTAGAAAGAGAGACTTGCTCAAATACGGAAGCAGATTTCAAGAGAAGAACATGAAAATCGACATATGGGGAATTATAGGTAACTTTGCTGCCATTTTTGTATGGACTGAAGGAAGTGAAGTGTCAAATAATCATTCTATATTTTTAGACCTTTTATGCTCACTTGAAGTACAGTTCTTTTCATTCTTAGAATGTGCTTTTTTGCTTAATATCTTTAAAGGAAGAAAAGGTAGTCAGCTAGTGAGCAAGTAGTGGTTCAGACTTGACAAATCTCCTGCCAGCTCTCCTTCCAACAGGCCTGTGGAGGGCCTGTGGGGAGTCTTTTTAATCAGCCATTCTGGGCCTGGATTTGGTTATTATACACTATTTTAAGAAAGTGGAAATTTAGGTTCTAATAGTTTTCTGCCAACTCATAGTGGTTGCTGTTCTTTAAACTCAAATTCTAAGGAAATGGAAGAAATAAGAAAATATTTGAAGAAGTCAGGTAGAGACAGTAGACAGGGTTTGGACTGTGTTAAACTGGTACCCCTCATAGTATCATCCTTGACAAGGATCTAAAGAGGCCCTTTAAGCTCCTGTGCTCTAGGAAGGTTGTCCCTCCTTCCCAGCTTGACCTTGCTTCAATTGGCATAAGAATGTATGGGCATAGAGTTTCTTACAGGTGTCTTTCCTGTTCTTAGCACCCACCTCCTTAGTAGTGAGGGGAACACATTCTTCCCAACCTACCACTACCTAGTCTTCACTCCATCACCCCAAAACAAGCCATTAAGACTGATGCTGCATTTTTGCATGCTTCTGTCACTACATGAAGTCAAAACTTCCCCAGTATTCCTCATCATCTGAACACTCTCCCACAAAGTTCTGTGTTTTACCAATTCAACCAATTGCAGTCACTTTCTCTGAAACAAACCCTTATATCTTATCTTCTGGAACTACTTTGTGTAATGATACTTCTCTAGATAAGCATTAATTTGTATGGGTAACACAAAAATTTGTGAACTTCTCAAAACTATCTTTGTTTCTAGCAGTTATCAATATTAACTAGCATGGAGCAAGAAGGCAATGATTTTCTAAACAATTATCTTAACTACTGAGCTGTGATTACTTCTTTTAAACAAATTGGGTTATCTGATTTTTTTTTTTGTAGACGAATTTATCCTCCAGATGATAAAACACTGCTTGAGAAGTATGAAAATTTGTTGGCTGTTGCCTTTCAGACCTTCCTTTCAGGAAGAGCAGCCTCATTCCAGCGAGAGCTGAATAATCCTTTGAAAAAAATGAAGGTAAGAGATGAGCATTGATACAGAGAAAAAAGGATGGAACCTAATAATAGTGTGTCTATAAAAACAGCCCACCTTCATCCTCCATGTGAAAGCACTATACTGTGATTTTATAGTGCACTTTAGGCTTTTCATTTTAACAGTTGGTAGTGTTTTACTACGAAAGGGACTTCATCAATAAGATGTCTAACAGGACAAATTATGGAGTAGAGAATTTTGATATAATATTGTAATTATCATATGTCAAGAACATTCTTATTACACCGATTTTTTTTTTTTTGTATAACTGGATAAAGAAATCCATTGAATTAACTTTGTGGTTTGTGACACTCTTGTTATTTGGATTATAATTAACACCATGCAGCATTTTTTCTTGATAATATATATATTATCTAGTATGAGAGCAAGTAAACCATACACAAACACACACACACATATACACACACACACACACACAAATACACACGTTTACCCTAATAAAAGGTCTATTTCTCAGTTGGTAGAGTGCTTGCCTCGAATGCACAATACCCTGGGTTCAAACCCCAGCACCACAAAAAAAAAAAAAAAAAAGAAGAAGAAGAAGATTTACACTAGTATGGCAATTTGTAAATCAATGGATGTGTAACTGATGTGATTCTGCAATCTGTGTATGGGGTGAAGGTGGGAGTTCATAACCCACTTGAATCAAAGTGTGGAATATGATATGTCAAGAAATTTGTAATGTTTTGAACAACCCACAATAAAAAATTAAAAAAAAATAAGTAAAAAAATAAAAGGTCTATTAGTTGTCTATTTGCTTGCTCTTTGTTCTGCAATATTTCTGGGGGCCATTGAGTGGTTCTTTCACTGGTCTTGCCTGGAGTCAATCAAGAAATATTCAGATAAATGTTTCTTGCACTCACTAAGGGCTAGAATTCCAAGGTGGTTTCACTCATGTATTTGGTACATCAAATCAGATAGCTGGAGTATCAGGGAGCTGACTGAGTGTATCTTTCTCTTTATGTGGCCTCTCAACATGGTAGCCAGATCTCTTAATAATAGTATCTCAGTGTTCTCTTCCAAAAGGTAGTATATTAAGGGGATTCTCTGTCTCCCAGCAGAATCTCTTACTTGCCTATGATAGATCTGATTTTTGCCCACAAACGCTCAGTCTTGGCAAAGGACCCAAAGTAGAAAGTGGTAATTCATCTTTGTTCATTTGGGAAGAACTTACCTTTCTCTGGAATTTGTTCTTTCACACTATTTTTTAGCTATGGCTTTCTGTTTTAAAAAATCTGTTTAGTTCATCAGATAATTTTTGGCTGCTACAATGAAAGCATTATCTGTTGTGATCTTTCTTCTGAACAGAAGCAGAACTCTGTGGGATCTTTTTAAAAATGCTGTTATCCACGGAATTCATTATAGGATTATTATTTTGTCAAAACTATAATGAGTCTTTTGGTGTTTTATTAGCTAATCTTCCGTAGATTGGGATGAAGAATAACTTATTTTAAAAATTTCTCTTGTATAGTGAAACGTCTGTATTTCAAAAAACACTTATGGGGAAGTTGAAACACAAATCATGAATATTAAATAAAGTTCTGATTTTTATAGGTGGAAAATAAGTAACAGTGAAGCAGTTGATTAAACCTCTTTCAGTATAGCTACTTCTTTGGTTTGTTCAACATCCACTGGGGTGTATGTTTATATTTTTTCCTTTTGACTTCAAAATGTCTCTGTAAGAGCATAAGAGACTGGTATTAGGGCGCTTCTGGATTGACACTCTCATTAATGCCTATAGAAAAAAAAAGATGCTTCATGAAGCCCTAAAAATACTTTTGTGCAGGGCTAGTGTTGTGGCTCAGTGGTAGAGCACTTGCCTAGCATGTGTGAGGCCCTAGGATCGATCCCCAGCACTACATAAAACTAACTAAATAAAAGTATTATGTCCATCTACAGCTAAAAATATTTTTAAAAATACTTTTGTGCAATATCAAAAATTTATAAAAATTTTCATTAAGTGTTGCCAAATACTAATATTAGATTGATTATAAATGAAATTCTTAGTATAATCACCAATTTTCTGTCTGGAGTTTTAGTATTTTTTGGAGTAATTAGTACTGGAATGATTAATTGAAGTTATAGTCTAGAAAATTCTGTGCTTCCAGAGATTTGAGTGTCCAAAATGCACTAAATTATTGAAGTACTATATTCTAAGATTTTAATAATGTATCATAATAGAAGGAAACATTTGTTTATGATAATTATTACTCAATAGATTTCAACTATATATTATTTGCATTGCCAGACTTTAGTGAAAGTTTCAAGAGAATTTGCCATAATCCTTTAGTTCCCCTTCTTTGATCTGAAAGATCTTCACTAAGTAGTTTTAAAAGTGCTCCTTGTACATTATTTTATGGAGATTAATGAAGTTGGAAAAATTTTAGAGTCCATTAGTGATCATGATTTAAATTAAAATGTTTTTTGAAGGAGGAAGATATTTTGGATCTTCTGGAACAGTGTGAAATTGATGATGAAAAATTGATGGGAAAAGCTACCAGGCCTCGAGGACCAAAGGTGCAGTATTTCAACCTTCCCGTATGTAAAAGTAAATGCTACCACGTGCAGCTGGCTTTCCCTTGATATTTCTCATTTTAAGAGTGGTGCCACTTTGAAGGAGCACAGGTGGAGTTGGAAAGATGGTGCTATCTCACACTCAGGAGTTTTGTTTCGTTTCCTTTTTCTTGGCTTTTTCCCTAGTGCTAGTAAGAACCTTAGGAGTCAGGCTAAGAGGGTCCAAGAACTAGTGTTCTTATTCTAAAGTCACTATTAAGTTTTCTTTTTATCTTTTAGACCAATAATTATCAAGGAAACATGTAGCATTAGAGATAAGAAAAATCATGACCCTGAAGACTCATATTGATAATTGAGTCAGCAACAACAATAGTGTTTTAATAAAAGTAAGTACAGATCCTAGGAATAAATAATAAGGTGTCATGTAGGTAAGAAAGGGCAGGAGTTTGCTTTACATGCATCTGCTCTGTTGTGGTGACATCTATATGTTTTTCTGACATCTGTTGAAGTTTTTGCTAGTGGAGAAAGAGTTGAATTTGAAAAATCTTGGAAACATTTTTCATCCTGTTTCTTTTACCTTGTATTTCAGCATTACTAAACTATGTCTGCATGGTCAGACAGTCATGCTTTGTTGTGCTGTCATGCTTTTTCAAGCCTCTGGAATGCCTGCCTACCAAAAAAAAATAATAAATAAATAAATAAATAAATTCATGATTTGATGCTTGATTGGAGACCCTTTCCTAATCTGCTGCCTTTGTGAGACCTGCCCTCTTTCTCCCAGTTGACACAGTTGCCCTCCTTCTCTTGCTATGCCATAAACAACACTTTACAGAGCAGTTATGACAAATAACTATTTGCCTGTTGGCCTTAGTATAAGGTGGTTGAGCTCCTTGAGGTGGAAAGTGCATTTTCATCTTTTATCTCTGCTGTGTAACGTTGCCTGGCACATCATAAATTCTCAAACTCTGTTAGTTCAATTTGTTAAATATGTTCATAAGGGCTTCTTTGGCAAGTGGAAGATCAGATTGATAAACCCCAAAGCAGGAGACCATGTAACAAATATGCAATAGAGAATGTAAAGTGCTACAGTGGCTTAGAGAAGCACAGGATCAGTAGCTATAATGGGAATGACCTCGTAAAGACTTTGCTGTTTTTAACTGGATTTTCAAAAATGAGAAGTACTCCACACCTTTAAGAGGGGTGGAAGAACATTCATGGTAGAGGGAAACTTAAAGGCATAGATAGACTTGACGGTGTGTTATAGAAACAAGGAAAAGTTTGGTATGACTCAAGTGGAAGGTTCTTGAAGGGTGAAATTGTGTAAGATGGGTCTGGTGAGAGATCATATCTAAGTAGATTTTTGGAGGACACTTTCTGATTATCTGCTCTGTTTTTAGGCACTGTGGAATAGGTAGTTGAAAATTCCTTTGGAATAAACATGGAGTTATTTGTAGAAATGAATACCTTCATAAATCTTGGCTTTATTTTGGGAAATATTGGGAAGTTTCTAATCTTATGTATCAGTTATTGCAGTTTGGCAAATCATACACCAAACCTCCTGGGGGTAGATGGCAAAATGGCAAATGCGAAAACCCCGAGGTAGTCAGACACTGTTGTTTCCCTCATATAAGATTGGCCATCCAAACAAAAGTACAACTTCTTGTAGGGCAGAATTCACATTGTGTGTGTGTATACATAATACACACACAAAAATATATATATATGTACATAAATAATATATATAAAATACATATTTTGGGTACTGAGGATTGAATCAGGGATACTTAACCATTGAGCCACATCCCTAGCTGAGGCTAGTTTTGAACTCCTGATCCTCCTGCCTTAGCCTCCTGAGCTGCTGGGATTATAGGGTTGTGCCGCTGTGCCCAACATTGTATATTTTTTAATCCCTTTCATTTTAGGCAAGTTGTGGGAGCTAAAAATGTATTTGTTGAAATGAAAAGAAATGAGCATATCCTGTAATTGTTAAAGCCAGCAGTATCTCAAAGTTGAAAGCTGCATAATTAGTTTGAAGTAGAAGCATTTTTATAACTTTTATGTTTATGTTTTCAAGGGTCTAAATGGAGCAAACTTCAAAGCAAATTTTCCTTTTTAGAGGGCTGATACTGTGTGCCAAACATTGGTCTCTCTTTTTTGGAGATGACCAAAGTTAAATAAAACTTTCATTTGTATCAGGAGGAATACTAACTTTTTTCTTATTTTAGAATTTAAGAAATATTAATTAGTCACATAAATAATAAATGCCACATATAATATTAGCAACCTCCTTCTTCTTAAGCTGGATGATAAATATATGGATATTTATCTTATTATTTACAGATATTTTACATAAGACTGATTTTATAGTAAAATTGCACATAAAGATAAGTAGTATGGTTTGTGTCATAACTCAATGCCTATTTCCAAATTCCATTTTAGAGTTGAGGAACTATTGAAAGTTTATCCTGCTGTGATTTCTAATTAATTACTTGAACAGTGTCTTGGTCATAAAGTCCCAAATGCATATATGACACAAAGTTTCAGTGGTATTTTTCCCTATGGTTCTTCATAGTGTCAGACAACTCATTATGTAGTCAGGCTCCTTAAGAAACCTTAAAATGCTTGCTGCCTGAGGGAAGGTACTTCTAGCAAGTCCAAGTGTGCTGCTGTTTCTTCTGTGTGTGCTAAACCTTTGGAGCAACATCCTTCCCCTAGAGATCATATTTCCTAACATTGTCAAAATGTTTGATGATTGTGTTACTGGTAAATGTTTTTATGCACCTCTCTTTGAACATTATTAGTGCTCAGTGAAGATTAAACTATCAAAAGGAGAACAAGTGTTGAAATACAAGTGTGCCTTGGTGTATTAAACCCGTTTCCTGCTTTGGTTATATTTCATCCTTGCAAAGCCTGTAACTTTAAGAAGCTCATGCTTTGGCTTACTATGTATTCCAGGCACTTCACGAAGTGCCATTTCTCTGTCTTTTATCCTACACGATTACACTGGAGAATATACTTCTTTTCAGTGAAATCCCATGGTATGCAAGGATTTCATTATCATGTATGCTAACATCAAAACCTCTTTGTTTGATTTAACACAAGCCTCTCGTATGCAACAGCAGGAACCTCTCCCAGAGGAATAGGAGGCAAAGTGTGTCTGTAACAAATTGTCTGTTAAAATGACTGCATCACAGAATGGTCCTGTTCTCAGTCCTGTGCATTCCTTCTGAAGTGATGCTGTCCCATGCCTTTTTCCTGTAACTTCAGCTGGCATCTTTGGAAACTCATTGATTGGGAGGATGGGAAACAAGCGATTCTGATGAGACGTTTTAAGTCTTTACAGATCTACCTACCCTTCGACCTAGGTCCCATCCTCTAAAAATCTCCATGTCAAACTGATCTTCACATTATTATCATTTTGTAAGCTGTAGCACTGACAATAAAAAGAAGCATGACTCCCTTATGGCCAGACTGGGATTGTCAAAGTAAGGAGTCCTCCGAGAAGAGACATGAGGTATTCATGACCCATTTGGGAAATAGATAATTAGCTAAAACTTTTCATTTTTATATATGAAAAGGGTTAGGGGGTATAGCTCAGTAGTAGAGTGTGTGCTTAGTGTGCACCAGGATCAATTTCCAGCACCAGGACTAATATCATCCACGGCAAATTAGTACCTTGCTCCTTGTTGTACCTAGGGCTCTGTTTTAAGATGTGGCCTTACTTATAGAGGCTTCTCTGGTTGTTGCTTTGTGCTCTCTTTGTTCTTCTTCCTTTGCAGCCTTTCTCCCTACACCCCCACATTTATTGAGTGACTTGGTATGGAATGAAGAAAAGCCAATTACCTTTGTGAATTTTGATATCTTTCTATCACGTTTTCCCTTAGTTTTCTTTTTTTTATTCTTGTTTACAGATACTTCTGGTCTTTGTTATGATCACGTAGAAACATTTTTCATGACTGAGCTATATTATTTAAGAAAGCATATTTTGCAGGAACGACAATCAGTGAGTGCTCTGTAGGCTGAGCAGTCTACAGCAGTAGCCTTCAGTGAAAAGCAGCAAGTGAAGGGGAAATTAAAAATAGCAACTAATCATTTTAATGAGCCTTTTGAAAAATTCTATCAGAATAACACATTTGCCTCTGTTTCAGCCTCTATGTTCTATGCCAGAGAGTTCCGAGGTAATGAAAAAGCAGAAGTATTGCAGCAGCGACAGCAGTTATGAGAGTAGCGGCAGCTCCTCAGAATCTGACGAAAACGAAGAATACCAAAATAAGAAAGGAGATGAAGAGCAAGTTCCATATGATCTTAAGCACTCCAACCACTGCAAATTAGTTCAACAATCCAGTAAGTCATTTTCTTCCAAGTTAACTAAATATATGAAGAATTAGGGAGTTGAATTTCAACTCAATAAAAGGTCCTTGGACCAAATGAACCCTTGTGTGTGAGAAGACCTGGATTCTACCCCATTTCCTTCCCTACCTAGACTTGGGCATATACATCCATCAAGCCCTGTCAGGTTCTGCAAATAGAAAACAATAGGCTTACCTTAAGGATCCACCCATCTATATTTCATGGTTTTTAAGTATTGCAGTTTTGCATGGGTCTTTCAAAATGTGCCTGACGACTCATCTGCTGGTTATGGTTTTTTAAAACCCATGTAGTCATTTTCCACTTCCCCCTCTCCTGTCACCCTCTTTGTTTGATACCACCACCTATTTTTTAAACTGTATGTATCCCTCTAGGCAATTCACTTGAATGTATCTGTGAGCCACACAATTGTGAAATAGTAGAAGTTTTGTTCCCTCCTATTTTCATCACAGGTAAGCACTAAAGTCAGGGCTTTTGGTGCATAGGAAATATTTAGGAAAGCACTCAACCAACTTCTCAGTCTCCTTCTTTTTATGTTTCCTTTTCTCTCTTTTTTTTCACATTTCCCTTTCTCCTATCTTTCATTCCTTCTTCGATCCCAAGTGCCTTCTACTGTCCTTGTGATTCTTCTTTCATCCACAGATGTCCAACATAACTGATCTGCCTCCAATCCAGGACTTTATTTTTAACACCTGTCTTTGATATGTGATTATGTTCCAGTATGCACTGTTTGCCTAGTGTTCCATGTCGAAGGGTTCTTTTAAAGGGACGACGCGTTCAGTTATGCAGTAAACAGAATTGTGAGCCTTTGTCAATCTCTAGCAATGGCTTAATATGTTAAGTCTCCAGTAATATGGATATCTCCAAACTGGCCTTGCATGATTATGGCAAAATCCATGTGGAATGAAGAATAGATTTTAGAGGAATGGTCTTAATTTTACTTCCAAATTATTCCAGAAAGTTACATCCTACGACTGCTCTTTGAGCATTTGTATATTTGGAAATAATGTGTTTTATGTTCTGTATCATTTGTTTAAGGGGTGTTCACCGACCACCTCTTCCAGAGTTTGTAAGCTATTCTACCTCCTTTTTTTCTTAAGGATTCCTTAAGTACTTTCAATGTGTCTTCAGGTAAAAGCCTCCGTTTCTGTTTTGGAAGTTGAAATTTTCCTGCCCAAGTGTTGTCAGTTTTTGCCAGCTGCTCCTACTAGCTAATTGTCTCTCCATAATAACATCAACTAGTGAGGGGTAAAGGAAAGGTAGAGAAAAAAAAATTGCTGGGGTTCTTATGAGCTCTGAAATTCTTTTTGATTCTCAGACCAATAGATTAAAAAATTGAGATAAGTACAGTTGTGTACTAAAACAGGGTATGGGTTTAAAAAAAATGTTTTGAATATAAGTGTTCATTTTAAACTAGCCCAATTCAGTTACAAATCTTTTTCCTTATTAGTTGTATTTTCTTTTATACTCAATTAGGAATTATAACAAGGGTTTCACCTTGTTTTATATTCTCTTTAATCTTACACATTGTACCAACAAATTCTCCTAGAGTTTTGTCACTGAAGTGATGCAAATAACCAAGACATCATCCTGATTATATGTAGCACTATAGTTAACTTGGGAAGTTCAGATTTGTAATGGTTTCAGAGGGCTATGTTTTGGTTTGATCTGAGGTGATCACATAAAAAAACTATATAAAATACTTTCCTTACGTAATTTGTGGAAGTTACTACCATTTTTTTGTTAATCTACCAAGTGTCATTGGGGTGTTCAGCTGTTTTAGTTTTTCTGTATGAATTTTCTGTGTTTGCAGATGAACAATGGGAATCTGTAATACTTTCCCTCTGCTTTGTGACAAATTATACACATCCACACCATCGCCTTAAGCTCTGAGGTTAAGTGATCAGGACTCTAGTGTAGTTAGTAGGAAATTATTTGGGATATTTTCTTAGTAGAAGCTTGTTCTTTGTACATACTGAATATGTCCAGTTCTTTGTAAAAACAAAGAAAGATGGGCTGACCAGTAGTTATTCTCTAGAAGCAATGTGTTTTGCTGACTTTTCTTTTTTCTTTTTAGTACTGTACCACTGAGCTACATCCCCAGAACTTAGTTTTTTTTTTTTAAAGATTTTGAGACAAAATCTCACTAAATTGCTGAGGGTCTTACTAAGTTGCTGAGACTGGCCTTGAACTTGTCATTCTCTTGCTTCAGCCACCAAATCATAGGGATTACAGATATGTATCACTGCACCCAGCAAAAGCAATGTGCTTTATTAATTAATTTATTTTATTGGTTCTTTTAAGCTAAACCTGACAGTAGAATTCATTTTGATATAATTATACAAGCATGGAATATATACTGTTCTAATTAGGACTCCACTCTTATGGATGTACATAATGGTGGGAGTCGCTATGGTGTATTCATATATGTACAAGGGAAATTTATTTTGGATTCATTCTGCTTTCTTTTCTTTCCCTATTCTCCTCCCTTCCCTTTATTCCCCTTTGTCTAATCTACTGAATATGTTATTCCCTTCTCCCCTCTTATTGTGGATTAGCATCCACATATCAGCGAAAAATTTGAACTTTGGCTTTTTGGGGCTGGCATATTTCAATTAGCATGATAATCTCTAGATCCATCCATTTACTTGCAAGTGTCATAAAGTAATTCTTTATGGCTGAGTAAATACTCCCTGGTACCACATATACCACATTTTCTTTATCCATTCATCTGCTAAAGGGCACCTAGACTGGTTCTATAGCTTAGCTATTGTGAATTGAGCTGTTATAAATATTGATGTGTCTGTATCACTCCAGTAAGCTGAGTTTAAACCCTTTAGATATATACCAAAGGGTGGGAAAGCTGGGTCAAATGGTAGTTCCATTCCTAGTTTTTTTTTTTTAAGGAAACTCCATTTGGCTTTCCATAGTGGTTGCACCAATTTGCAGTCTCATCAGCAATGTATGAGTGTACCTTCTTCGCGTTCTCACCAACATTTATTGTTGCTGCATTCTTGATAATTGCCATTCTGACTGGAGTGAGATGAAATCTCAGTGTAGTTTTAATTTGCATTTCTTTAACTGCTAGAGATGTTGAACATTTTTTTCATATATTTGTTAACCATTCTTTTTTCTTCTTCTGCAAAGTGTCTGTTCAGTTCATTTGCCCATTTATTGACTGGGTTTTTTTTTTGGTGTTAAGCTTTTTAAGTTCTTTATATATCCTAGAGGTTAACACTCTATCTGAGGTGCAGGTGGCAAAGACTTTTTTCCCATTCCATAGGCTCTCTCTTTACATTCTTGATTGTTTCCTTTGCTGTGAAAAAGCTTTTTAGTTTAGTGCCATACCATTTACTGATTATTGATTTTACTTCTTGAACTGTAGTCTTGTTAAGGAAGTCAGTTCCTGAGCCAACATGTTGGAGTGTTGGGCATACATTTTCTTCTAGTATGTGTAGGGATTCTGGCCTAATTCCTAGATCTTTGATCCACTTTGAGTTGAGTTTTATACAGCGTAAGAGAAAGGGGTTAAATTTTATACAGCTACATAGGAATTTCCAGTTTTCCCAGCACCTTCATTGAAGGGGCTATCTTTTCTTCAATGTTCATTTTTTTTTTGTGCCTTTATCTAGTATGAGATAACTGTATTTCTGTATTGTCTCTGGGTCTTCTATTCTGTTCCATTGGTGTTCTTGCTTGTTTAGGTGTCAGTATCATTCTGTTTTTTATTACTGTCACTCTGTAGTATAATGTAAGGTCTGAGATTGTGATGCCTCCTGCTTCACTTGTCTCAGGAAGGATTGCTTTGACTATTCTGGGCCTCTTATTTTTCCAGATGAATTTCATGACTGCCTTTTCTATTTCTATGAAGAATGTAATTGGAATTTTGTTGGGAATTGGGTCGAATCTGTGTAGTGCTTTTGGTGGTATGACCATTTAAATTCTTTTTTATTTGTTCTATTTTGTTATACATGACAGTAGAATGCATTTTGACACATCATACATAAATGGAGTATAACTTCTCATTCTCTTGGTTGTACAGGATGTAGAGTTACACAGGTTGTATAATCATATACGCATGTAGGATCATAATATCTGATTCATTCTACTATCCTTCCTATACCCATAACCCCTCCCCTCTGTTTACTCCCCTCTGTCTAGTCCAAAATACCTCTATTCTCCCCCCGAAACTTATTTTGAATTAACATCTGCATCTCAGAGAAAACATTTGGGCTTTGATTCTTTGGGGTTGGCTTATTTTGATTAGCATAATATTCTCCAGTTTCATCCATTTACTGGCAAATGCCATAATTTCATTCGTTCTTAAGGCTGTTTAATATTTCATTGTGCATATTTACCAAAATGTCATTATCCATTCATCTGTTGAAGGGCAACAGATGGTTCCATAGGTTAGCCGTTGTGAATTGAGTTGCTATAAACATTGATATGGCTGCATCACTGTCGTATGCTGATTTTAAATCCTTTGGGTATATACCTCAGAGTGTGTCAAAGGGTGATTCCATTTCAAGTGAGTCAAATGATGGTTGCATTCCAAGTTTTCTGAGGAATCTCCATACTGTTTCCCATAGTGATTGCGCCAATTTGCAGTCCCACCAGCATGTATAGCATTTTGATAATATTAATTCTGCCTATCCAAGAACATGGTGTGGGAGGGTCTTTTCATCTTCTACGGTCTTCCTCAATTTCTTTCTTCAGTGTTGTGTAGTTTTCATTGTAGAGTTCCTTCACCTCTTTTGTTAGGTTGATTCCCAAGTATTTTATTTTATTTGAGGCTACTGTGAATGGGATAGTTTTCCTAACAAAGAGAAATGTTTGGGTATTTTGACTGATTTTATAAAATTATTTAATTAATGAAGATTGATATATTCCCCAAGGGGAGGTGGGGTGGAGAGAAGAGAGACAGACTAAATGAAACAGAGGTTATACAGAACTGATGAATTAAAAAGAGATTAAAAAATATTGATAGTATTGAGTGATAATCTGTTTCCCAGAGTCAACAGGCACATTTTATCAGGAACAATTGGATCTCTTTCTTATATATTCTCAGTGTACATTGGAGGAAGATATTCTGTTTTTTTTTTTTCCCTGAATAGTTGTTCTGGTAACAATTCTATAAATCCATATGTTTTCTTCATTTAGATTTTTAACTATTAAAATTTAATCTAATTTTTATTCACTTCTGTAAATAAGATTGTTTAGTATTATTTTATAATAACCAATTATATATTTAAATTCCATTAGAATAATCTTTATATTTTTCTTCTGCTTTATTTTTTCTTCAAGGGCCTATATTCTCTAACTTACATATTTATCCTGAGTGTTTTCTAGACTCCTTTCCTGTCCTTCCTACAAATCTTATAATAATATTCAATCTCTAGCTTATGCTTAGGTTCTAATAAGTGACCAGTCTTGTCCCAAGAATGGTAGATGGCATATCATGATATTATAGAAAGAGGGAGGCCATTGGATTTGGATAGGTAAAGATTTAAGCCTGAGCTTGCCACCATGTTGGTGTGTGTCTCTTAGCCTTTGGGCCATTAGGATTATTTTCTTCAGGGGACTTCTGTGAGCATGATATACCTGGCCTATAGAAGGTTCTCCATCACTGTTAATTTCCTTTCTTCTAGTTCTTTTATGTAATGTTTTGAGAACATAACATTAAAGTACTGTTTATAGTGTTATCCCATAAGAGCCATTCTTTGCACACTAGTGAGGTTCTACACCAAATTCATTGTTTAAATTTAAGAATCAACTCCAAATTTATATTTTCATGATGATGTCTGTGCTTTGACATTTACCGCCACTCTACTGCCACCTAGTTTGATCTTTGGTTTATAAAGACTTGCTACAGGGGGAAACTTCTACTTACACCACTACTATACTTCCCTCTTTTCCATCATTGATAGATTCCATGAGGCGGTCAGTCAGTTGCCCTCGGTCCATCTCTACTCACTCACTTCCCATGGGGGACATTCGCCCTGTTTCTGCTCAACAAGTGATATCAATATCACGGCCAACTTCAGCATCTCGGTCACATTCCTTGAATCGTGCTTCCTCCTACATGAAACAGCTCCCTCCTGGTAATGAAGCCAACTCTGCCAACTCTGAGGTGGTAAGTCATCTGCTTTGCCTTTTCAGGATTTCAGACTGTACTCTGAATCTTGGTGGCAAAGGGAATCTGCTTCAAGGAGAACAGGTTGAGCCTCAAATCCTTTCTGTAGTTCAATTCATGACCTTCTGGCATTGGAATTACTCATCTATTTTAGGATACAACTTAGAATGGACTTTTAGAATACAGACTTTATCACAGAACTCAAAGATGAAACTGAGAATAGCATTATTTTATTTTCTACTTGCTGATGTAGTAGGATAATATTGTTGAAAATCATCTGAATGAATGTATGGTTTTGTAGTATGTTATGTAGTCTGTCTGTAAATTTCAAAAAAAAATTGTTATATAGAAAATTTCACTTACCAGGACTATTGATTTAATAGATTGAAAAAATATTGATAAGTTCTCCTTAGCGCACTTAAGTAACAATCTTGTTTATAACATATATGTTAGTGCTTCTTAGAGCAAAGTACAATATTGTTAATATTGAATATATATGTTGTTTATTATGAATATATAAATTAACACACAACATTCTCTCTTTAGCATGAATTCCATAAATTTAGAATTAGTCAGTGAATTTATTTTGCAACCAAGTACCTTCATATAGATCAGGGATTTAATTAGTTCATTTATTTATTTAATGTTGTTGTTTCCAAAGAGAAGATGAATTTCTTTTGGCGATGATGATTAAATATTTTTTCTAATTCACAGTTGTCTAAGGTATATGTAGCAAATGAAACTGACCAGGAAGTCATTTTTAATTATTCATATTTTTATTTTAGTTCTTTGAGTAAAATAAAACATAACCATGTAGAAACATGAAAGCTACCCTTGATATTTATATCCATTTAATGACAAGAATTTGTAAATATAAAAATTATATTTTTCCTTTTATTATTATTTTTCAATTAAAAGTGCATCATTTTTACCTAGAAATATCTTTCAGATTATACTGGCACAATGAAATAAGTCCCCCTCCAAATATCTGTATTCTTTCAAATTTAAGAGTGAGACTTTGCGGCAGCTGAAAACAAAAGAACAAGACGAAGATTTAACAAGTCAGACCTTATTTGTTCTCAAAGACATGAGGATCCGGTTTCCAGGAAAGTCAGATGCAGAATCAGAACTTCTGATAGAAGATGTGAGTCTTTGATATATTTAAAATATCAAGGAGCATTTATTTATTCTTGAATAGTAAAATTTATTTACTGGTAGCATTATATCTCAATGATATACCAAAATTAATGGAGCTTCTTTTCAGCTTCTAGAAGCTTTACAAAATATAGGGAATTATTTTAATTATTATGATTCAGGAACAGCAAGACCTCATTTATAATCAACAATGCTCAGTATATAGTCCTATTTTAATAACTTTCATCAAGTAAAAATAATTAGCATTAAATAATTATTATTCCTAGTGATTAAAGAAATATCACATTAAAATCTTTTATTAAAATTTAGATCTGAGATGTGATGAAAAAAGTGGGGCCCTGACATAAAAAGACATTTTGAGTTTCACAGTTTTTGGTCAAATTTTGAAATAGCGTATGCTGAATTGTGTTTTTCTTTCTACATGCACCTTTGCACCATCTAGTGGACCATTATAAAATGGCAAAGAATCCTGAACACTTGAGAGTTGACTTAACATCTCATTCATGAAAGGTCAAAGTTATTAAGATATTTTTGGTGAAATAGCATTTTCTCACTCAAGTTTCCATTTCTTTATTCAAGCATGCTTTTCAAATGGTTATTCTTAGATAATTCCTCTGTAATGAAACATTGTTTGCTGGGATCCTCTTGTTGGGGGAAAGGGGTGTGGGGGAGGGGGATGTTTTGATTTTTACAGAGAACTAGGCACCATCTAGTGGTCAACTGTAGAATAAAAATCCACACTTGGCCTTTTTAAAATTTTTAGCATTACTTTAGGCCTAAAGCAAGTATATACAAACAAAAACAAAAAACAATGAAAAAATCTTCTTTGGTTTAAAAAATACACAATAACAATTTATATTTAGTAATTATGACATAATTACAAATTATCAACCCCAAATATTATGCATTTTGTTGATATATATTACTAAAATGGCATCTTGTTTGAAGTGAGGTGATACATATTACATAAAAGAAAAGGGAAGAAAAATAGACACTGGAAGTAACGTATTATGTTAGATATATTTTTTATTTATGTACGCTATCTTATTCAATCAAGTTCTTTTCTAAGTAAAGCCAATGACTTTGTACTAGACACTTATCATTTTATGTATTTCTTAGAGATATTAATTATATTTTGCTGCTTTGAATAAGAAGAAAACTAGACAGTCATAGAGTAGAGCTAATATCTGTGGCTAATGTGACTGTTCTATAAAGAACCTATAAAGGTTTATATAATTAATAGTTGACATAAGATTGCTACATGTTCACTATATGCAGTTCTTTAATCTGTTTGCTATAGTATATATTATTAGGCTATATATTTAGAAATTCTGTAGATGTATACAAAAGAAAGAGATAGCAGAATCCTAATTAAATATAAGCTGCCTTCTAATGTATTATTCAATATTCTATTACTATGGATGATGTGGTTATTACAGCCAGGGGTATAAAGATAGAAAATCTATGTCTTCGATTTCTTCTCAAAACATATGTGCCTGAAGACTTCTGCTTTCCACTCATTGTAGATTGTGTTATTGGTACAACAAGAAGAGACAGCTGTGGATTCAAATACTTTCTATACCTCATGTTGTAGGTCTTCACACATGTCTTTTTCTGAAAGTTGTCATTCTTTATTATGAGTGTTATTATATTGCTTTCATCCCACAAATTAATTAATAAAATTGTCTTTCACCCCTTTATTTTTCATGTATTATTTTCAATGAACATTCTAGAATAAATTCTTAATGTTTCTTCCCCCACACAGATCATCGATAACTGGAAGTATCATAAAACAAAAGTGGCTTCATATTGGCTCATAAAATTGGATTCTGTGAAACAGCGAAAAGTGAGTAGTGCTCAGGAACAGCTCTGTCCATTTGGATTGTGTATTAAGCCAGGGTCAGTTAGTCAGATAGTCAGATCTGTACACGTTTGTTTACTCATTTCCTCACCAAGTATTCAATGAATACCTACTATGCTAGGCATTGTTCAAGATTCTGAGGATTTAAAAAAAAAAAAGATCCATGCTTTCATAGAGCTTACATCTTAGTTAAGATGTTTGATAGGGTTGGGGTTCTGGCTCAGTGGTAGAGGGCTTGCCTAGCATGTGTGAGGCCCTGGGTTTAATCCTCAGTACCATATAAAAATAAATTAATTAAATAAAGGTATTGTGTCCATCTACAACTAAAAAAAATATTTAAAAAATTTTAAAAAAGGGGGCTGGGGTTGTGGCTCAGCAGTAGAGCGCTCGCCTCCCATGTGTGAGGGCTCGATCTCCAGCACCACATAAAAATAAATGAATAAAGGTATTGTGTCCAACTATAACTAAAAAATAAATATTTTAAAAAATAAAATAAAAAAGTATTTAATATTAAACATGCAATAGAATTTAAGATAGTATTAAGTACTATGAAGGAAGATAAAGCAGGATTAAACAGTAGAAGGTAACTTTGGAGAAGAGACTTAAATGAAACAGGAACCATGCTCTGCAGATACAATATTATGGAGCAGAAGGAAGAACTAGACAAAAGATCCTGAGGTAGAAATTAGATTGATGTGTTCGTGAAGCATAGCAAGGCACCATTATATTTATTCACGTATTCATAGTCCATTTATTTTTGCTGGAAAAGAATGAGTGATTTAGTGGTGAGAGATGCAGTTGGATAGATAGGCAGGGCTCAGATCACAACTTTATAGGCTATGAAAAGACACTGGGATTTATTCTTACTGGGAGGGTTTGACCTAACCAAGGACATTTATTCTAATTAGAGGGAGGGCAAAGATAGGGTAGTGTAGTGGGAAAATGTGAAAGTTTTTTTTCTGGTGGGAGATTTGAGAGGAGAATAAGAGGAATGTTACAGTTCTTTTGGAAAGTGGGAGAGAGTCTGTCAAATACACTGGAACAAAATTTAAAAAGGAGGAGATATGCTGTTTTAATAACTATAGTGAAGTTGCTGTATTCTTTCAGTAATACAAATTACCATTTGTCCTTTCTAGAATTTATTGTTAATAAGTTGAACTTGACATTGATCAGATTGACTTGTAAATTATATATTTTATCTGTGTCAGCTGAACTCACTGTTATACATTAGTACATTCAACAGATATTTATGTCATGTCTGTCACGTGCGAATATAGTGCTGCTATTGAGAAGGTTATATCAGAGCTGGTGACAGGGATAGACTGTAAATCATATGGTAACCCCTGAATCCATGTTTTCCTAGTCACTGGCTCTGGCCTTGATTGATGAAGATAGGGCATTTCATTAGAATTATAACCCTGAATTTCCTGAAGTCCATGTGATTTTTGCAATTTAAAAGAGAGAATAGTGTAGGTAAAATATTAATTAAAATAAGAAATAGGTCAAATTATTTATAAGACATGAATATACAATAAATGTGATATTTCAAATCAATGGAGAAAAAATGATTTTTCCAGAAAATGGTACTGAAACAATTGGCTATTTGTAAAAAAATTAAGTTGGAGTTTATCTCTGACCATATACAAAAATAAATACCATATAGATTATAGTTTGATATGTAAAAAAGAAAATATTAAAGATTTAAAAGAAAATGCAGAAAGATTTTAAAGTAGGGAAACAAGAGAGACCTAAAAACTCCAAGTCTTAAAAGACTGATAGAGTCAGATTTGACTATATAAAAACTGATGGCAAAAGACACGTAAAACCAAGTAAACACAGTGGTAAAGAGAATTGGGTAAGAGGGGGTTGCTCAAGGAAGATAGATATTGTTGCATATAAAATGAAAAGTAACATCAGTAAACCAGTACTTCCTACAACTCAACTGCAAAGCAAACTAGTCTATAAATATCAATAAATAAAATGGCAACACATAAAAAAAAAAAAACGCCCTGAAAAGACAACTTATGGATCTTCACATTGCCAATTAACATGTAAATAGATCCTTAGCCTCACTAATGATGAAGAAACAGCAAATAAAACCCATCATATTGGCAAAAAGTAATAAGATAATATCCAGTGATGGGAATAGTGTGGATAAAAGGGGATTTACCATACTATTAGAAGGAGAATAAATTGATATAACTCTTTAGAAAGGTAATTTGCAGTATCTATTAAAATTACAAATGTTCATATCCTTATAACTCAGCAAACTCGCTTCTGGCATTTTGCCCTATGGAATTACAGCCTGAATATATCAGAGATTTCTCTATGTGAGCATTCACTGCAGTGTATTTATGAAAGCAAAATACTCAAAGCTGCTTAAATGTCTTTCAATGGTTTATGGTTAAATAAACTTTAGTACATTTATTCAATTCAGTTGCATTCAATTGAATACTATTCTACAGTCACAGATATTAACCTGAGAGAGAGCACAAGACTGTGACTTTGACCTATGAAACATATGTTAGTAAAGTTACCCACACTTTGCTAATTATGACTGAAGGACACATGCAGGAAACAGCCAGTAAGTGCAGGGATTCTGGGAAGCTGAGTCTGTCTGCTCTCTGGTGCCTCTAATACCAAAACCCGGAGGCTGTCTGGGTTCAGAGTAACTCACAAGTGCCATATATGTGTGGCTCATGTTGGCACAGAGGGAACCATTTATATTTGGGTGGTTTTTATTTTTATTTTCTATTGGTCACCTGTGAGACCTATGTGACTAACTTCCATTCTTCAGCCACATGAAATACAAATCCTAGGCTTATTTACTATGTATGGGCTTTGTTCCACAGAACTTTCTGCAAGGATGCAAATGTTTATACCTGTGATGTGCAGTGTAGTAGTGAATAGCCACATATGGCTATTGAGCCCTTCAGATGTGACTGAGGAACTGAATTTTTTATTTATATTTAATTAACTTAACTTTTAATTTAAAGAGCCAACTATTTTAGTGGCTTCTGTATTTGAAAGTGTGGATCTAGATGCAGTGTTCTGAAACATTTTTGATGAGAACTTTCTTGGTTATCTTTCCGCTGATAAATTCAGAGGGTTTGCAAGAATGTCTAGTAAGTCAGAATTTCCATGGGCATTTCAAAGAAGTAGCACCATTGTTAACTTTCTCACTTTGATACTATCCTAAAAAGATACCAAGATATTAAAGAAACAAGTTAATAATATATAATGTCCCCTTTAAACTACTTATGTATGTGTGCTACACTAATATATATATATATATATATATATATATATATATATTATATATATTTATATATATATATATATATATATATATATATATATTTAAAAGATTTGTTTAAACATGGATAACAGAATTTTAAAACTTATTTCTGGAGAGAAAATTTCTTAAGCCAAGTAGAGAAAGTAGTGGCATTTGGTGTCCTTTTTCCTTTTGTTTTTGTTTATGTATATATGTGTGTGTGTGTGTGTAATTGTGTTTATATATTATGTGTGTATACATATACACATATATATTGCTATTGTTGTTGTTAGAATAATCTTTTTAAAAATAGAGGGATGGCAGGAAAACAAAGACTTCTTTGTGGAAAGGCGCTGATAATATAACAGGGATGTTAACCTGGCTTCCTGTCCCCAACAATGACCTCATGTTGAAGCAGGGGCAAGGGAAAGAGGTGGATAGGATCTCTTGGGGCCTCAGGACCTTGCCCAGCTCAGCTGTCCTTGCTGCCTGGACTCACTCTTCCTGTACAACATTCTTTTGGAAGGTACAGTTCATTTTCATGAAACCTGTTGGGTTCTTCCACAGCCAAACATCATCCTTTCCTACTTGAATCTTCTTGGCACTTTGTCCTCAATTGTACTTGTGGTCTACTTTGAGATATTTATGGATTTATTTTTTTTTTCCCCATCCTTTTAAAAACAAGAGCGCCAGACTTACCTATAGTCACCTGTAGGAGGCATCCTCTAAACACTTGTTAAATTAGTTCAATTCCAGACTTAGGAGCCCTGTTAATACCAAGCTCCTACCCTTTTTTCCTTGCTTCCTTTTTTCCTTGTTTGAATGCAATGAAAAATTAAGACAATGCTCTTCTATGTTTCACATGTGATATGAGAAGGCCTGATGAGCATTGTATGACATGATCAACTGATATGTCTGATTAGTTACATTATTTGTGAATAGGAAGAAATGATTTATTGCATTGTTAAGCTTCATTGGGTTTCTAAATTTAGAGTAAAAATAAGCACTTGCTTATCAACTTACTAGCACAGCACCTATCCTAGTATATCTATTTTTTCCATGTAGATTTTCTCTAAGAATATTTGTATTATCTTTTCTTCCAGTTCTAAGTGTGAAATGGAATTTAAGTGTTCATCGTATACTGCTATATTTAGGTGGGGGTGGACCTATAGTGCTAAGGTGAGGGCAGGATCTTTGTTTACAATTTATCCATCCTCTTACCTGTGTTTTGAGCTCTTGTTTTGCCTATTGCTTTGGTGTAAATGAACAGTATCATATTTCCTTTGTGTTCATAGACAGCAGCAAGATATCCCACTTGCAATGTGAAGCTTGCTAACATCCCACAGTTTGCACTAGCCAAACAGTTGCAATCATTCTTCTACATAGGTAATTTAATAAACAAATCTATTTTTTGACAGAAGAATTCATATATTGAATTTTGGCTCTCAAAGAATAAAAATGTCTGATATTAAGTAGAAAAAGTTTATCTTGCAAAGAGGCCCCTGAAAGGGTCTGAGGAATGCAAGGCACAGGCTGTGAGCTGAAGTGAAAGCTCAGGATTTGCACATGTGCGACTTATTTGTAGCAATTTTTCATGCTATGGTCATGATTACTGTGGTTCCTTTTCTTTCTTCAACCATTTTGTTCTTTAAGAGACTTTTCCCCAAACAGACTCTACTTTCTCAGATAAATAGTGAAGGGTGAGCCA